AGGAAAGAGATAAGTGAGAAAGTAAAGAATGAAATATAAAGAAATACGGAAGTAAAGAAGAAATAAATAAAGAAGAAGAAGAATGTTGCAAATGGATATACAAAAAATGAAGTGAGAATAAGGTAATAAGAAAGAAATGAATATAGAAATGAAGAAGTAGAAAAGTAAGGAATAAAGTTATAAAAGTGGAGAAGAAATGAGGAAAGAGATAAGTGAGAAAGTAAAGAATGAAATATAAAGAAATACGGAAGTAAAGAAGAAATAAATAAAGAAGAAGAAGAAGGTTGCAAATGGATATACAAAAAATGAAGTGAGAATAAGGTAATAAGAAAGAAATGAATATAGAAATGAAGAAGTAGAAAAGTAAGGAATAAAGTTATAAAAGTGGAGAAGAAATGAGGAAAGAGATAAGTGAGAAAGTAAAGAATGAAATATAAAGAAATACGGAAGTAAAGAAGAAATAAATAAAGAAGAAGAAGAAGGTTGCAAATGGATATACAAAAAATGAAGTGAGAATAAGGTAATAAGAAAGAAATGAATATAGAAATGAAGAAGTAGAAAAGTAAGGAATAAAGTTATAAAAGTGGAGAAGAAATGAGGAAAGAGATAAGTGAGAAAGTAAAGAATGAAATATAAAGAAATACGGAAGTAAAGAAGAAATAAATAAAGAAGAAGAAGAAGGTTGCAAATGGATATACAAAAAATGAAGTGAGAATAAGGTAATAAGAAAGAAATGAATATAGAAATGAAGAAGTAGAAAAGTAAGGAATAAAGTTATAAAAGTGGAGAAGAAATGAGGAAAGAGATAAGTGAGAAAGTAAAGAATGAAATATAAAGAAATACGGAAGTAAAGAAGAAATAAATAAAGAAGAAGAAGAAGGTTGCAAATGGATATACAAAAAATGAAGTGAGAATAAGGTAATAAGAAAGAAATGAATATAGAAATGAAGAAGTAGAAAAGTAAGGAATAAAGTTAGAAAAGTGGAGAAGAAATGAGAAGAGAGATAAATAAGAAAGTGAAGAATGAAAGATAAAGAAATAAGGAACTAAAGGAGAAATAAATATAAAAATAGAAGAAGGTTCGAAATGAATAAGAGAGCTTGATTCCAAGAGACCAGTATAGGAGACCGGCTCGAGGAAGAATGAGCGCTCCGAGTCCGGCTGCCTCGATCGTTCCCCCCACCATCCACCTGTTCCGGCTCACCGAGTCCTGCGCGCCGAACTAGCGCGCACACAATTTTGGGCAACTTCCAGTATTTCTAAATGTACTTGGCCAGAATTTCCGTTTTCCAACTGTTAATATTTCATTGATTTCATTAATTATTTTAATGTTTCAAACACCTAATTTATTTACGATTTAGTGAAAAAAGTAGAAAAAGCATGAAATATAAGGGAGCGAAATGGGCCCCTCCCCGCCCATTTCCGTGAGGTCCTGCCTCTCCACAAGGGAGCAACGACCCCTCCGAGGCCCCATAGGGGACCGTCTTTTTTTTTATTGAGGAAAACCCCCGAGTCCCGCGGCTGCCGCGCACAGGACTAGGGGGGAAAACCTCAAGTACATCAAGATCCAATAATATTTAGTAAAAATTGAGGTACTACACGGGTGTCATGTTGGCACTGCACTTTTTTTTAAATGTCTTAAAAATGTTTCAACAATACTCTTTTTCAATAGTTCTTGAGAAGTTCTATAATTTCCGGTCACGTTCTAAGGGTTGCTTTGGGATCCAGCGGTGATTAGCGGAGAACCTCTGCCCGCCAAGCTACACGTTCTTGTTCACGTTTAGCTCGGCTACGACGGGATTCGCATTGTCGACGGAGGCGATGATCACAAAATTCTACTTCCCGATTCGCCGCTACGATTTAGTGCCATGATTTTGGTATCGCCTAAAACCGTAACGTTGTTCATCTGCCTACTCATCTCCTCATTGGAGGGGAAAACCAAGAGGAAGAAGGAAGGAATTATAGGGTTAAAAAGAAGACTCATCACATTTTCATAACTTTATTTTAATATCACTAACATACATTAATAGGTGAGATTGCTAGCCCAACATAGATACATTAGTTGATCAGCGCAACTGTGAAATGATATAATCTAATTGTCTTAATGCTAGATTAATCATACATAAAATGATAGAACGATGATGCATATTGCGTCTAAAAAAAGTAGTTATGTCCCGTTTAATCTGTCTGGGTCACTCGCATTATTATGTTAATAGAAATAGTTGTCTGCAAACCTCTTAAATAATACAAGTTATAGCCGAGCCGAAGATGGAAGAGAAAGAAATCATTAAACGCGACACAAGATCGGATATTCCAATGAATCGGTATATACAAGGATCTTCATATAGTGGTTACCAAATGCAATCGAAAATACGGCTTTGCAGGGTGTACAGTAAAAAATGGAGTTCACACGCCTATTCTCATTTCCCACTTTTTTGGGTGCTTTCACTTTCTCGCATACACTTTCATTTCAATTATATCCTTTAGACTATAATGATTCTGCTAATTAGACGCCTTGTTTTTACATCTTTTCTTTTTCATATTGTTTTTGCATTTCTCTTTGGGAACACGTCGTTACAATTCTACGTAGCAGCCAACGTTTCAAGTGTTCAGTAACTCAAATGGAGTAACCATATATGCTGTACATACGTGTATTCAATATATTTATTCGCGTTATGCAATATATATATATATATATATATATGTGTGTATTTATTCATAATGTTCCTCCTTTCCTTTTGCCTGTCGTTGTACCTCGTTTGTGTGTATTTATAATAATTTCCATACGTCCTTCAACTGATAACAATCTCAATGAAATGTTAAGATCAGGACACAACAGGACTTACAGTTGTGTGTATTTATTCATAATGTTCCTCGTTTCAAGTGTTCAGTAACTCAAATGGAGTAACCATATATGCTGTACATACGTGTATTCAATATATTTATTCGCGTTATGCAATATATATATATATATATATATATGTGTGTATTTATTCATAATGTTCCTCCTTTCCTTTTGCCTGTCGTTGTACCTCGTTTGTGTGTATTTATAATAATTTCCATACGTCCTTCAACTGATAACAATCTCAATGAAATGTTAAGATCAGGACACAACAGGACTTACAGTTATTACCGATAGATTCGTTTTATCAATACATCAAAGCATCTTTCGTAGGCCTATCAATATAGTCATAGTAATAATAGTAATGGTAGTAGTCGTAGTACTTGTTTCAATAGCGGTAATAGTGATAGTAACAGTATTAATAGCAATGGTAAAATAGATCAATAGATGAATCGATCAACAAATTGGATAAAGACTAGCGCTAATATCGAGTAACTGGGAGAAAAACCGCGATAAATTAAACGAGAACCAACGTTGCAACTTCAAATTGTTAATTTCATTACTAATCCTGCGTCTTAGCTCTACATTCTCCCTGTAACTCTCACAATTTTGAGATTCCGCAACTTCGATTGATAATTCGAATTTCAGCCGCCCTACGAATCGCCATCGTTATTAGATCTTTCGCGATGTTTACTTAACTTTGTAATTTTCCAAAATTGAATCCACTCATATCGCCTCTCAATCCAAATGAAAAGTTGGCTCGAATAGCATAACAATTTTCCTATTACTCCCCTAATTTTGTTTTTCTCTAATATTGCAATTAATTAATCGATTTGGTAAAATAATTTCTATCTTTAATATAACGATTTTTCTCTTTAAATCCACGAACCATCCGTCACCAGAATTGGCTCTCCGATGGGCAACGATATATCTTAATTTTATATGACGCCGTGAGTCCCGTCGAAGTTGCTCAGCAGAGCAGCCGGTGCTGTCTCGTGTCCGCTTGGTGCTGCTCCTGGCGCCGGTGCTCCGGGTTGTGGTGGTTGTGCTGGTGGTGAGTAAGGAGGATAGACTGGCGCCTGCGGAACCGGTGCTGATTCGGGCATGAATTTCGCTGAAAGAAAACAAGGATGACGTTTAATTACGTTCTCAGATTGGCAGGTCTTGCCTGATCACTGGGACCGGTGCTCCTACCACCGAGTACAATATGTTACTACCTTATACCTAAATACCTAAAATGCTTTGTGGAGTATTGTGAAAGAGATTTGTTCGGGTTTCCTATTTTCGAGTAAATTAACGAACAAACGTATTTTCGCACTCACAATCCAAAAGAGGGTTAACTTCAAGTGATTTCGCAATGGGCAAATTAACGCGAGACTTACGTATGTCTGGCTCGAACAAGGAAAAGTGTGAACACTGCTTATACACGTCATGTGGTAGGCTGGTAGGCTGGTAGGCTGGTAGGTTAGACGATCCTAAATGATCGATTGTCATCGGTGCGTGTTATGTGTCTGTCCACCGAGGACACGGATACGCGTGATTGTCTGACGTGTGTAATTCGCGTGATAAGAAAATGCAATGGGAGAAAATTCATGTGATAAAAAAAAATGTCTCACGGGTGATAGTGTAATATATCCATGTGTGAATAAAACATGCGTATAGAAAAAAGCTACGTCGTGCACAGCCATCTCGATGCTCCATTTTTTTACCTCCTTCTTTTCCCCACTCTTATCACTCGAATTACTGATCCTCCATCTTTTATCTAAATTTTATTACCAAAAAATTAAACTCTCTGCTCGGTGTCTTTTCACACTGTCTCTCTGTCCTTCTTCCTCGACCGTCGTCTTGTTTCTCTTACCTGGTTGCGCCGCCTCTAATTATTGCTTAAAGTATATATCGATCCTCTTGATCCACTTTGTCCCACGATCCTCCTGCGACGTTCATTGAACCACGTGTCGTTGCTGGAGACTTAAATACTAGTCGAAGCAGCCATTGTACTGCTGGCCAGGATCATGATTAAAATTGACTTGATAAGGGACATTTAATTTTTCTTTTTCTTCTTTAATTTTTCCACGTTCGAGACCAGTATATACAATTCACTCGTATCCTGAAAACCGCCATTTTTCTTCTACGTACTGTAATTTTATTCAATACTGTACAGTGTTCAAAGCAGCATAATCATGAAGTATGTCGATCATTGATATATTGTATTATATATATATATAGCTAAATGTTTATAGATAATAAACATTGTTTCATAGCTTTAACGCTAATCCCATGACGGGCACCATTTGCTAGTCGCGCGATCTACTGTTTTGTTCTCGCATAGCCTTTTCTTCGAAATGGCTATACTTGGAAATTTTATCCACGTGGTCCCCAACTGACAGTTCCCAAAGCAAATGATAAACAAAGTCAAGTAGCGAGGGGGAAGGCTCAATATCTCGACGACTTGCCTGCACCGATCCGAAATTCCAATTGATTTTCAAAGATTCTCATAGACGAGACACGGAGACGAGAAGAAGAGAGATAAGAAAAAGTTTCGAAGGAAAACGATAGATCGGCGAAGGGAACATTCGAAAATGGCGCCCATCGCGCATAATCGCATACAATTGGGTAATCAATAGACTTTGGGCGCGATTACAGGTATCAATGACGAGGAATGATCTCTCCTTAAATGGATGACAGTGATCTAAACTGACAATGTGATTTCTTGGGCCGTACTTAACGGGAAGAGAGTGAGAAATGGCGCTGCGTGGAGTACAGAGAGGGGAGGGGAGGGGAGGGGCAATTAACTTATGGTTGGAGGCAGCAGCGCGCTATTTCTTTTATTAGATCAGTTAGACGTAATTCCCATTTTAAAAATCATCTACATGCCACATGGAAATATCATTAATTTACATTGAAATTTCTCTAAAATGCGGGCAAGACGTGCGGGCACGCAAATTTCTTTTTTTTTTTAATTCTTGATAGTCGTTAAACATATACAACATCGGTAGATAATGTTTAAGCCTTAAAATTTACCTAGATATCGTGAATTTTCAAGCGCGAATCTCATTTTTTTTTAATTCTCGAACTGCGCTCTTTATCTTATTCCTTGTCTCTCTCTCTCTCTCTCCCTCTGATACACACTATCGTTTCTTCCTCTTCTCTCGCGTTTCTGATCAATGATAATTGTTCCTAACAGGCAATCCTTGCGTAATCTTGATAAACAATACACAATCTAAAGGTCAGCTCACGCGTGGACGCTAAATCAGAAAGAGGAAACCAAGAGAAATACCGGTTGTTATTTAAAAAGTATCGCTTAACAATTGCTCGTTGTGCTTGATAATAAGAAAACTGTGCATTACCTTCTATCCCAATTAACCCAATTCGGCAAGTTCTTCCTTTTTGGCTCGCCTGATCTTAATCAAAAGGCGATACACCTCAATGTCCTCGAGTATCGTCAACGCGATACCAAAAAACCTAATGGGCGCGCAGCTCGTAAAAGCAAATGCTTCCTTTTATTTTTAATTAAAATAAAAGTCCCCACATCACAATTATCAAAGGTTTCATTAGCAATGAAAGATCCCATAATTCCACACACGCGCGTGGCCGCGCGCGCGAGCTCTTTCTCATTCGCACACAGAGAATCTGACACGCACGCACTCTCTCTCTCTTTTTCCGTTTCTCTCTTATTCTTTAAGCTTTCCCAGTTGGTATTACTTGCATTCCATGGTAGCGCGGACGAATGTGTTGGGGCCGAATTGATTGTTTGCCTATTGCGCTTTATTCAGTTTTGCGTGTCGCTTCCTCCGACGGTTTTCGCTGAAAATAACCGAATATCCAGATATTTTAGAGAGAAAAATGAAAAGGGGCGGCTGCTGGATGCTAATCAAAAATTAAGGGCGACGGGGGGGGGGGAAGAGAGAAATGACGCAATGAAACGTGACGTAACGGACGTAGGAAAAAGAGACAGAGTACATTTTGGTAATAATAAATAAATGTGATAGAAGATTCGAATCTGCGAGACTCGTGCAGTCTTGCCAATCCTTCTCGAGAAACGTCTAGGGACTTTTCTTCGGCGAGGGACTTTAACCACGGCTCGATAATTCTCTATATCTATACAGATATACTCCGGCTCCATTCACTGTATCCCTATGTCGCACTTGCGCACGTTCGCCAAGGGACAATCGCATGCAACTGGGTCACGAGGACCCGATGCCCCTTTTTTCGCGGATCAGAGCAAAAGGATTCATCGAATAAAAAAATGCAATAATCCAAAATGGCTACCTCGTACATGCCTATCCACGGATATTCACCCGTGGTTATTCAAGATAAATCAATTTCAGACAGCCACTTTGAGGATTGCGATTTTATTATTTATTATTTATTATTTTTAATTGCTACCAAAAGGAAAAGAAAAAAAACCGCCCGTCTTCCTTATTCTATCAAATGGCATTCTGGCATTCACACTGAATTAACATAGCGGCCAACAAAAGCCATGCAATTTCTACCGTGAACGTACATCGATACACGACTACTTACGTTTCTCAAAAAGGATAATGAAAAAAAAAAAAAAAAAAACCCCAACGAAATTAGATATAGATAAAAAGTGAAAAAATTTCATGAAGAAGAAGCCATGCGTTAAGCATGAAGATCGTCCCAGATGGAATTATTTTTTTATGTATCCGCATATCAATAATATTCATATATAATATATGGTGTCTTTAGTCAATAATTTATCAGAGTATAAAAAAGTCGTTCTAGTGAATAAGATAGTAGAAAATCGAATAGGAAACGAAAAGGTATTTCATGCCAAAATAATGTATGTTTTAGCATGTATGTAAAAAAGCGAGAAGACTGAGTAGCGAGTAGCGACTGAGACGTTTTCAAAATTCATCCTTCAAACGATATTACGCAAAGCCACTGAATTCCCTGAAGAGAGAAGAGACACGTCTCTGGCAGTCGCGAGGCGTCGTTTTTCTTTTCTTCGTTCGCGACGAAGGTACAGTGAAAAGAGAAACTTGAAGAAATATAAAGAAGGTGTTCAGCGTCAGTGATGAGTTTTAGTAATAAAAACTAGAAAGTTGTAATAAAATTATTGAAAAGGTGAAAGATCATGGCTTACCGTTACCCGGAGAATACGAATCGGGTGCGAAAGAGAAAGTTGGGGGAAAATTAAAAATGGACAGACGTTTCGGTTTAAGGGTGTTTCTGTTCTTGTCTGTTGATCTTGTTACTGTTGTAAGTGGGAGAGTTCGATCTTGTTCATGTGATGTCCATCGAGTTACGATATTCTGATGGCATCTATTTCTCCAGCAATTCAAAGTATCATATGAATCGACGTTCATTTTTTTTTCAATTTTCAAAAACCATCAAAACATCGTGACCGAGCCTGGGACTCGCTTCGAAAGATAGTAGGATAATCACGGCAGGACGATAGACAGACACATAACAACAGTATTAGCCTTAAGGAACGAATAGTTTAAGTCGCGTCCTTGCGTTTTGTCCGTCTTTCTTATTTTTTTTTTACTTTTCCATTTCGAAAAGGATAAAGCAGCCAATGACCCACGACCGGCGAGAATCATTCTCTGCTTTAGTTTCCGAAATTTGGATGATACACAATAGACGAGGTTTACTTGAAAAGAAGACACGATGGGCTGCATTGAAGATTTACAAACAAAAAAAAGAAACTAAAATTTTTCCTAATATCAAAATTCCTTGTGCACCGAACGAAAAAGACAGTTTTCTTCTTTTCTTTGTAAACTCATCAACGAGCCCTGGTATTAGAAAGATTAGCGACAGTACACCAGCAAACCTATACACAACGGGTAGACACTGAAAACCATCCTAAGATAACAATAATAATATTAATCATAGTGATAATAATAATAAATAACAATAATGAAAAGTCAAAACGAGAAAGAGAGTTAAAGAAATAAAAATATAACGGAATTTACTTTTTTTTTTCATTATAAAAGGAAAAAAAGAAAAGGAACGTCCGTTCAAGTCATATGTTCATATATATAATGATATACTCCTACACAGACACACAATATCGCGTGTTTCTACCTGACTGACTCACACACAAATCTCTTCCACCAATCAGCGCGCCTACATGAAGTTCGCTAGACGAAAAAAACACAGAAAGATAGACGTTAGATGCCTGGTTCCCCCATTGGATCTTAGATCACTCAATCTTTGCTAATTCTTTAATTTAGAGTAGTTACAGTCAGTGCCACACAAGAGCGTGGCGCTGATATTTGCAAAAGTGTAATTAGAATTGAAAATTCTCCAGTAATTCATAAATAACACTCTTTGACCACATAAACTCTTTTTAAATCCATAATTATTCGCCCTGTAAATATGAGCCCCACGTTTTTATGGGACAGACTGTATTTCAATCTCTTTCTCTTTTTCTTTCTCTCTATCATTCAATGGTGCTAGAAAAAAAAAAATCAAAGACACTCAATTTGACTTTACGTCAAAGCACAAACATGGCGGCAGCACCAAAGTAGCGCCGAACTGTAGTCATACAGAGTTATCGTTTTTATTAAATGCAACGAATAAATTCATAGAGTAGTTTCACGATAAAGATGTCTTACGATGAATTCGTAATCGCAGATATATGATCGCTAGATATATATGGGTGCTATCCGTGTAAGCAGCGTGTCCTGCTCAACCTTAATTACATACCTGCATCATCAGGGCTCAAAGAACTCTTATGGAAGTCTATATACAGTGCCTAATCCCGCAGCTCGAATTCATCGTGATCAACACGTTCAACACGTTCAACACGTTCAGGTACATCGAGGTACACATAACATTGAACTTCTCTACATTCAATACCCCTATGTCCAGTGTGTTCGTTGTTTCGAAACATTAATTAACGTAATACCGACATATAAATTTCGTATTACTTACCAACGATGACCGCCACTATGATGAGTCCAATGACGCCCATGATGATCATCATCTGTTCAAAGTTAAGATACAATTGATTGGGCCAACTTTAAAAATCAATAGCGAATAGCGAGCAAGTGTCAAAGGTTAACGCACCTTTAGATTTTGTAGCCAGAACTTTCTCTTCAACTTCCCTGCCTGCTGTTCAAATTGCGACGCTCCCTGCTGCAGGGCGTCTAAGAGAAGTGAGATAGAAGAATTTCATATATTATTATTTTCAAAATTTAATTTATAAAATTAGTCTATTGTACGATTGTATAATCAATGGAAATTATTTACCAGCTCGGTTGTCCAATTCAGACAGCTTGTGATCACGATCCAAGACCTTCTCGACGTTCGTCTTCATAATGTCGACGACCTCATCGACCTGAGCCTGCGTCTGCTGCAATCGTTTCTGAGATGCGATTTGCTGGGGCGTCCTGGGACCACCGACGATTCCATCTTCACCAGCTCCGGCAGCCGCTGCATCCGGTCCCAGACCGCCTTCTGTGGCCCTGTTACAAGATCATTCGATTTTAGATGAAGCACAGTCAATTCAATTCCGAATAATTGTAATTAGGAAATTGCACGTGGGTGTCCTTTGTCTGTTTTCAGCTTTGTGGAATTGATATTTTGTTTCATAATGTTCCATGGGTATTGAAATATGGCCGCAGGGTGTGCTATCCCAGTGAACCACTCCTGCCATCCAACCGGCCAGTAGTCAGCTAGCTGAAAGGGCAGAGTTCACGGCCCGGTTATGCCCGCGCACCCGACACGAGTTTCAACTCCAAGTAAATCTAGCCAATGGCCATTAAGCTCAATGAGAACGTCACCATAGTCCTGGTTCTCCTGCACGCGTCCTGGTCAATCCTCTGCCTCCTGTGCTTAATTAATTTAGATCAATCCCTGGCACATGTCATGTATCCCAAGTGCATCTTCACACGAGATGAGAAAGAAAAAGTTGAATATCTCCCAAGATCCTCTAATCTTTTTACGCAATTGACAACCTTGCTAAATTGACACAGGTGATCGATCAGGAAAGCTTCTTCGTTTTGTAATTAATTAACGACTGAGAGCAAACAAATTTTTTAAATTCCAAGATACAAATTGTGTTCCACTATCATCGATAGTTATGTTATCCCTCTCATCCCTATGGCTATTGATATCATTGGCTTCTGATCCCTCGAGGAAATCTCATGAGGATCAAGACTCATTTGTTACGGACGTCATATAAGACGTACATCATTTTTTTTCTTTTTTATTTCCCTATCTATCCTCCCACCTTCCCTCTGTAATCTTTCTCGTCTATTCGTTTTACCGGAAGACCTAAGAGGATACCGGTGCAAATATTCTCTCTATCATTGATTATCTAAATATAGAGCGGCGTACATGACATCTATCCTCTACAGGATTGGCCCGCTTACATTTTGCAATGATAAGACCAGTCAAAAAAGGTACGTGGAGTAATGGCAAATTTATTTAGACAGAACGAACCGATCTCGGCGTGGAGACGTCTCCTCAGATAATCGTCCAAATATTTTCGAGATCTGCGACGCGATGTAATAATTCAGTATGCGTAAATATTCTTATCAACGTGACTGCTAATCTTCAGAGCGGCAGACCGCCGTCTGATATTTCATGGAATCTTGTTAAGAGACACCCGTTGAGTTCAGCCAAAAGGAAATCGATTTCGCGAGAAAGCTCGTGGAAATTGCGTCTTAAAACGCGTCTTGTTACGCACGCTTTCCTCGTTCCTATGATATATAAAGGGATCAGTATGTTTTCACATTCGCTGCGGAAACTATCGATCTGGGATACCATTTATTTGTCCTGTCACTTCGTGAAAAAGAAACAAAAAGTTTGATCGTGCACAGAGAGTCAAAATGATACGATACTCGCAAAAGAAATCGATACAGGATACTTCCTGTGTCATTAGGCCGTGCGCTACTTGCTCTACGAAAAGAGGATACTCGAATTTGTTGATTTAACGCGAGAGGATTCTTTGACGAGCCTGTGACCCAGAAAGAAAGAAGACAAAGAAATCGCCGGAAATCGACCGAACAAATTCACTGGTAAGAACAGAGAACGTAGAAACGAGCAATCGATAACAGGCTAAAAGCTCTTAAGAATAAAACAGCCTCGACAAAACTTCAACAGGACATCGATAAACTCCGGGAAATTCTTAGAGACCAGTGCCAGACATTGTACATTATTTTGAAGGAAATCACCATGAACATTCATTTCCCGACAGGCTACGTGGAGATAATTTGACCGTTTGTGATTGACAAGACCAAGTTCGCTGCTAACGCGCGATGAGAACAACCAAACCGTGTCGATAAAATAATAAAGTGAGTTAATCGTATAGGAAAATGATATCACATGGAAAATTGTTCCTCTTTGCGTATAATTATGTCATTTACTCACATATTTCCGTAGCGTCCGGTTGAGCTTCAGAAGATTGAACGATCAGGGTGTTTTTTCGCACGATCACGTAGTTTCAATGCGACTGCCACTGTCGGGGTGCTTCGGTATTGATAAATTTTCCAGCGACGTCTATTCGAGAGACGCCGGCGCGATATGTATCGCACGATATGTCTCGCTAGGTCAACCGTCACCTTCCAGTTTGAAAGTATCGTGTCAACTGACGCACACGCTTCGTGAAAAACGGCAGAGAGGTTAGTTAGGCGACAAGAGTGACGTTTGTAATGAAATTATCACACGAGTATCTGTCTAATTAAGTGTCTTGTCGAAAGAGGTGAAATTTTGTAGTAAGGTTATCGAAGGGCTTTCGACCTATCGAGGACTGCACGGGCGTCGCGACGCCGTCCCGATTACTGCGTCTAGTTGCGATCATGCGCACTACTACCAGTCAATACACGGATCCGTCCTAAAATCCTCTTGCACGGGCGCAAATGTCCACGATATACTACCGTCCATCGCGGTCGTCATATTTTATTTATACAATCGACAGGACTGGGCGTTTCGCGTTCGCACGGTGATTATCGCCGCGAAATTAACTGGATAATCGCGGATACTCGACAATGGATTTGCAAATTCATGATGGCAACAGGATTTTCAACATGACAAGACTATACGGTGAATTTATTGCAACTGTTTTACGTAGAAATAAACGAACGATTGTTTTTGGTAGAAATAGAATTTTGTCTTTGTAAATATTGTTTCGGGTTTGCTGATTGTTGGAATATCGAGCCACTTGGGTTTTTTCAATTTTGTTTATTTTTTACGATGCACAGAAACGGAATCTAGATAAGGTGTCAGGGAAATTATTTTCTCTTTCCTTGAAAGAATATTTTCATAGATCATTTGAAATTTCTTATACTCCGAATAGACAATCTAGATGTTCAATGCTTCTATTGGAATTAAATGAAAAGTATTATTGCATCATAGAAATATCTCTAACCATTTAAAAGTTATTGTCATTCAAAGTGCTATAACGTAACCAATTCGCAAAACTAAACGCGGATTGGGTTTTCGATGTGTTGTGTCCTTTTTCGTATGAAAATGTCCATAAGTCTATCTCTGTTCCACTGGTAATCAATATAGGAAATTTGGAAAAGCTGCTGCCATATTTAGACAACATATGTGGTGCCATCTATGTAATAACGTTTGAAACTGTTCAACCTTCGACAAGGTTCCGCTATTATTTAGAAGATGGCGCCACATATTTTGTTGAAAAGAAAATACTGCCTAATTACCCGGCAAATTTACGGATTTACATCAAGCTTAAAGTTTATTTGACATATTTAATATACAATATTCATACACATATGTGGTTATCAAAAACATTAAACAATGCTCTCAAGTCTATCCAAACGATAAATGGAACTCTTTCGTTAAACAAATTGTTGCTTTTGCGTCGATTGACTAATAAGTATGAAGAAAGTATTTAAAAATCCTTGGAAGTACTTAACGAAATATCGGACGCATAGTAGATTTACCGGGTCTCTGAATGTATGGGTAAACTTTCGATAATATAAGTGACGTCATTCACGACGCCATCTTTCAGTCATATCTGTGTTCACCGTGTTTCGTGTATGAGACTTGTACTCGTCATCTTAATAATTACAATTAAAAATAGAGAATATTAATTTTTACTGCGTTGCCCTGATCGAACTAGAAGAAACCGTAAGTACTCACGATCGGTGATAAATCAAAAGGATTATACGTTTCTCCTGATATTCATATTACACGATAAGTCCCGTCGATCGTAGGTAGCAGAAATGTCAAACGGATATGCATATGTGGATAACGATTACCGAAACCTATCCGTCTAGCACAAGTGTGCCGCGTTTACTTAACGTTTTATCAGGCTTCTCCTATTGGCTCTGTAATGTTTCTATTTACGTTTCTCGTTGCGTCTCTTAAGTTTCTTGAAAACAGATGCTTTGAGGTTATGGGCGTGTGCTGACGAACTGAAGTACTGAATATTTAAACTCCTGGAGAAGGATACAAAACCGCGATTGTTGACCGTACGAACTTTGTACAGCAACATATGGTAGAAAACTGTAGGATCAATTGTAGCCAAGAGGGATATTGATTTATAATCTTATAATCATATTGGTTTTAGAAATATGGAGGGTAGCGGATATTCTGGTGAAGGCGATGTGGGTGGACCAAGAACTCCTCAGCAAGGTGCATCTTCAAAGAAATTGCAGCAAACTCAGGCAAAGGTGGATGAGGTCGTGGGAATCATGAAGGTCAATGTAGAGAAAGTCTTAGAAAGGGACCAAAAACTCTCAGAGCTGGACAATCGAGCAGATGCATTGCAGCAAGGTGCTGCACAGTTTGAACAGCAAGCTGGTAAACTGAAGCGAAAGTACTGGTGGAAGAATTTGAAGATGATGATAATCATTGGCATTATCTGCGTTATAATTCTAATCATTATTATCGGTGAGTTGATACCTACCAATCCTTTGTGATTTTATGCTTTGCATGCAATTTGCTACTCCATGTGTTATGAATAAGCTCCGAGGTTGTAAGCAAATCCTCACAAATTTTTCTTCTATACAATTTTTAAACAGCTTCAGTAGTACCAAGTTCGTCGGATCCTGGACCCTCGGAACATTGAATACTTGTGTATTGAAATCCAACAACAAAAGCATACCAACAATTAAACGATAGAACTTCAATCGAGCTACGTGAACTTCTTGATGTAACAAGCAGCTCGTTACTATCGCATAAAACTAACCAACATAACGAACAGCCACATTCACAAACATAAAACATACACCATTCGCCAGTTCGTTCGTAGTCGAAAGAGTTTTTAAAATCTTTTTTTTTCTTTCTTTTTCCACCACCACGAACGCACAAATATGATTAAAAAATAAAATACTTTATATTTAACTGGCCAAACGGATGTTGGGTGGTGTGTACATTATAATTAGAAATAACCGAAATGGCGAGAATCATTCTACAATTCCTACGCGTGGACAATGTAATTGTAGAATAATATTTTGGATACATATACATAAATATTAATACGGACTCAACCAATCTAAATCATGGACGCCGTACCGTTACGATACATATTGTACTACTGTCAATGATATTTAATATATATTACTATTTCTATACATTAATTCAATGATTCTACTTAATTTGTATCCCTACACCGAATCCTTAGATGCATCATCCCTTACAATAGGGATATCGCAAATTTAAAATATACATTTACCAAATAACACGACCAACTAATCTAATCGAATATCATGAGATTTATTCAATATAGCCGATGAATTTAAATGCTTACAGAATATAAATGTTTAACATTGCTTGCTCCATAAATTTTCAAAAACAATGATGTAATTTAGTAAACAAAAATATGTTGACAAGTTACGTGATTAGCAGCATCATAAATAACAACAAAAAATATGTAATTTCCATTATAATAAGAAATTCGAGAGTATTTTGTTAGTACTTATTTTTCTTTTGTAAAGTGTAGAATATTTCTGCAAATAAATATTCATGATTCGTTGTCCCCGCGTGAATAGAGACGCGCCTCTTCTAAACCTTCAATACGAAAGCTTCGCGGAAAACCGTGTGATTCGATGTACCAATGATTTTTTCATTTATAACTAGAAATTCTTGGCACAGATTGAGATTCGAAAGGAAACTGTCCAACGGCATCTCACTCTCTCCGATTCTTTAGAACGTGAATATAATATTGGCGCAAGAGCCGCTTGAGTAAATATATCCAAACATTGCAAAACTAACATGTTACCAATATATCAAAAATTACATATTACATCAATCATACTCCACAAATACTAAAGTGCGTGATAACTGAAATTCAATAGTAACTTGATAAGACTCAAGTCGCAAATCAACTCGAAAAACAATGACAGTCGATTACCTAACAAGAGTACACGGCTATATCCGAATCGGCATCGATCAAACGTGGCTTCGTAGTACCGAGTAAGTGAAGGCAGACAAGAATTCACCGATGGAAATGTCGCCAAGTCTGAAATTAGTAAAGGAAACCTGCCAAGGTATGGCCGGAGTCTCTACAGGTCCGACAATATTTGATTGGGCCAGTACTAAGCCGCTGTCATACCTTGTGCTAAACAAAAATAATTAATTGCAGATGAAACCTTGATAGTGTCATTCGATAACAATAGTCATTAGCCTGACATTTGTATCTTCAAAATCTTTGATATCAAGCCATGTAACTGACAATGAATCGCTTCCTTAAGGTGGACTCGTTCAGTATGTTTCGCGCGACACAACACCCAGCAGACGACGGCTGTCGTGGCGTCCCTCTTAATCCCTCTGACAGACAACAAGCGTATCTGAATACGTGCGTACCGATTCGCATGTAATACCAATGTGTCTCGCTGTGCTCTCGACGGCGGAGGCTCTATAGCCGTTTTTATTTTCTCGCAAACCTCAGAAATCTCAGCAACTTCATTCATTCACCTATCAGTCGAGTGACGACCGTCCTGCCGGACAGACGGAGACACGCCAGTCACGCGTCTCCCAACGTCAACGGTGTGGTTATCCGCTGCTCTTGGAAATATCTTCCTTCTGTCGTTGTCCTCGTTGCCGTGCTTGTTGTTGCTGTTATTGTTAATACTTCTGGCAGGCATTTCCTTAGCGTCACTTATTTCTTTGAAGATTCGCGACCACCTCGTACTTATGGGTGACAATCAGTTTTCACGTTCTTTCGTGTTTTCCGAGCAGAAAGTTATCTGTGAAAATTGCATAGCGAAACTTTGATTTTCTTTTCATAGTTATCGTACGTGTCGGTTGTGTACGTTAATTGTGGATAACATTAATTTGATTGTTGATGACAGTGAGATTTGTGAATATCGATTCGCGTGTAGATTGTGTGCTTGACACGATACGATTGGACGGAACCTGAGTGAAAATATCTGGATACACGTGTTTTCTTTTTCTTGAGGTTAATGGTGCGTCGGACGTTGTTCTTTGAGTGGAGTGAAATTTATAATTTGAGTTACCTAATTATGCATCAACGATACTCCATTACCAGTGGAATCTCAATTTGTTTGTTTCGAGAAAGGCTCTTTTCTCATTGACAATCGTATCTCTCTCTCTCTCTGGAGGTGCACAGAGAGAAGTACAGGTCGCGTTCGAGCATTAGAGCAGGCAAACATTGACCATTCACGCCGTTAAACTCGTGATAAGAAAACGCAAAGTGATAGACAAAAGCAACGGAAAAATGTTTTCTTCCGATGAACCTAAAGTAGCCACGTGCGCCATCAGACATGTGCCGTCTTTAACTGTGTCAAAGTAAAATAGACACAGTGTTTTCACAAGAAAAAAAAAAAAGGAAACACTGGTGTTATTAAGTTTGTGAAATATTTGTCATTCCTAAACACACACACACACACAGAGAGAGAGAGAGAGAGAGAGAGAGAGAGAGAGAGAGAGAGAGAGACAGTTAGTCCGAAGAAGAAAAAATAATCTGCATAAGTCAAATATCTTCTGCCAGTAGGAAACATTCCCGTAGGACTAGATACAAGAATATCAAAATGGCATCAGCTCTTAGAAATCTGGACGAAGAATATGGGCTGGGTTACCAGAACACATTGGTGAGTATTGTGCTATTTTTTTCCCAGCGCTTAAAATCTCTTTGATTCTCAAAGCACAGATCGTTTGACGTTTCGAAAATTTATGAGAAATCACAAAATCGTTTACACTGTAATGACGAGGGAGAATCAAAGTGCAGAGTCCACGACAATGTCGCCGACTGTTGCAGACTACTGTCACTCGATTTCCGACGTCTTGCAGCGTCTCGACGCACCTCGTTTTATTCTTACCTCGAAACTAAAATAGTTCAGCCGCGAATATTGTTCCTGGCTCAGCCGCACGTTTGGTCTCTTCACCTATAACAATAATTCCGGCTTCTATTATCACAGGCTATCTAGGATGAAAGGTCCACTCGATAAGCTTTACCCATAGCTAAGACCAATTTTTTCATTCAAGAAACAAACAAAAGTTGCATACAAAAATTACCGAAACATGCATGTGCTTTGTTAAGAATCATACGTGGTTTTGCAGATTGTGCCAAGTTATCGTTTGCCTCGGTGTAGGTAGTCACGGCGAGAGTGACTCACAAGACTGTGATTATTAGTAAGAGGTAAAATGAGAGGAAGAGGAAAAAAAAGGAAACCAATGGTGTCCAATCCATTTCCAAATCCACTCCTCCATATGGAGATCTCTGTAAGGAGGTCCAACGATCCAATTAAATTCCCATTTGTGCATATATTTTTTATTTCAACGGCCAATGCCTTTTTCCTTCTTTTATCAATGTTATGTACCGATTGCGTGCTGGAAACCTCAACTTATTTTATTATAGCAATTTCGTAGGACGAGTTTTCTCGTTCGTTAATGATTTCGCCTGAAAGACAATTTATCCAGGGGGATTGCCTCTTACGCAATCCTATTCCTATACAGTCCCACCCTGTTATTATCTTTTCGGTATCAGACGGAACAAAGATTTCGCCTCTCTCGAGAATCTTACTTCGCGATAGAGCCGATTGACGAACTTTAAGTTTTTTACGGACATCATCCACAGACAACGACTGCTGCACAGAAAGATGGCCGACGGTTATGGATAAGAGCAAAAATCATCCACGAGCGATTTTGACTTATCAATTCCCATGACGAGCAGGTTGCATCATCAGAGAAACAAGGATCAGTACGATCAAGAGCGATCCTTCTTAAACTTTTTAAAGATGGCATGTTAATGATATTTTTTAACTGTTATCAGTCAAACGAATTTTCATTTGCGTACGACATATGTAAACGCGTCATACGACAGATAGCGATGTTCCGGGAAAGAGAGTACTTAGTGAATTTGTTATCGGTAACTCCTACGAGACTGATAAGACAGCCGAATAATACGGTGAAGCGAGAGTGTGTTGAAAATCGACGAGAGATAATAACTCTGACAAGAAGTTCACGTGACAGAATCAACAGTGCTAAGTGATACTAATAATAATGTCACGGCAAATACGTGTAGCTTCATGTGAACGAGCTCATCTCTTACTATTTACTACTTATTGCTGCCGCTGAGCTTTGCTGGTTAGACGATTTACCTGGACTTTGTGGAAAAGGAACATTTCTTTTAGCCATTAAAAGGCACAACAACCGCGGCTTCACTCTGGTCACCTAACCGAAACTTCAAGGGGATTTTAAATAACGCGCTCAACCGCTGCGTCGATGACGAGAGAACACGCGTGTACGTATTGTCGGTATCTTCTCTCCCTGTCCTATTGACTTATGTGGGTACCCTATAACAAATGCGAGATAAAAGCGCGCAAATATTGACAACACTGGCAACAATAACCACAACCAGACGTAACCGGTTCTACGGTATACGGTACCAATAATTAAACCCGTTCCGCGGGATATATACCAATCTACACGTCATACCTCATATAAATAATCCATAAAACGAGCACAGGTATATTCAAAATTAAAAATGCTAAACATTGGGTAATACCCAAAACAGAAGTCGTAGCCTCTCGGTGAGCTGAAGTAGCAAAGTTCCCAGCTTCCTAGAACGCTAAACCAAAAACTCACTAGATCTAGTTATAAAAAACGTCACGGGACGCGTGCGCAGAAGATCTGGTAAAATTTCATGACGCAAAGATACACGTTATGTCAGCCGACTGACCTCTCTCATTCGCTCGGCTCTAGTATGTGATCAGAAGGGCATTGGCCCGTCGCCACGTCTCAGTGTTAGGTGCCGTAAGACCAGTGTGAATTTTCAGGCACTCTTTGCGAATCGATAGAGCTAGATTATCGATAAGTGAGCATTAGAGTCGATAGGAGAAATCGATATAACATTAAGGAATAGTGCCTCCTGCCGGAGATGAATGAGATATCCCCATTCATTCGAAGGACCAAAGCTTGTCACGAGGTCCCGTGGACCATCGATAGATTCTGTATGTATGTATAGCTACTACTGGAGCTCCCCTGTCACAGTGACGTAAGCGCGATGACCTTGTGAGCGAATACGCAAGCCCGACGTTGGCGACTACGTCGATCGTATCCAGAGTATAGAGTATTTTCTCACGGACTCTGTAGGAGCAAAACGTAAATGCGAGTTTCGCTCTGTTGGGAAATTAAAAATCGGGAAAAATCAAAAGAATAAGAAGAAAAATAATAAACTGCTGCTGCTGATTCCATCTAAGATCCATAGAGGAGCCAGAAGATAGCCTACTGTTCTTGTGGACAAACTTTTGTCTACGGACAAACATAAATAGATCATCGATCGTCTCTCAATCGGTATCTAACGATTGCGTCGTTCTTAAGGCCGTCATAATTTTTATTTGACTTTCTTCGTATTTCTCTGTCCGCTTCCACGTCGCCCGATAACACGCGCCCCGTTTCTCCGATCAATGCACGTAACGCCACGTAATGCCCAGTAACCGAGACGGAAAATGGCAGTCGCACTTGAGTGATAAACGGGAATTCTGAAGAGCTGAGTAGCGCAAGTGGAAACGGCGAGTGTATGGACAAATGACGTGAAGCTTGTAAAAGTTCGCAGAGTGCATATCAAGAGACTATAGCTCGACAGAGTCTCGCGCCAAGCACAGAACATATGTGTCTGACAGTTCAGATAAGACGAATGTGAGGGTAAAGTAGCTGAGAGGTCTCGCGGGTGTGAAAATTTCAAGATAACCGCTGAAACGTAGAGTTACGATAGTTGAGAGATCATCGGAAGGGGTCACTTCGAAAAGATGGCGTTCAGAAGTCTGGTAGCATCGGTTGCTGACGTTTCCACCAAGGTCCCTGTTATTCCGCGCTCGTCGTTCGTCAGGATGTCGTTCTCCACTGGTTCGAGCACTGCCGACGATATGGTCGTTACCAAGGACGAGGTCGTCAGATTCATCTCGGACTGCTTGAGGAAGGCTGGTACCACTGAAGATGACGCGTTCACCGTCGGCCATCATCTTATGGTCGCGGATTACAGAGGTCACTTCAGTCATGGGATGAACAGGATGCAAATGTACGTCAAGGACATTGAGAGCAGACTTACTGATCCTGCAGGGAAACCCACCATCCTTACGGATTTTCAGGTTAGGACGTGGATCTCCTTGTTTCCGGTCCATTTCTTTTTCTCTGTATTTAAGAAAGATCGGAGTTGAAGATTTGTTTGAAGATTTTTATTTGTAAGAACTTTTTAATTTTGATAATCCCTCTCTTTTCTTTTTCATACGAAGTTATGGTTGCTCTGACGTCAGACGCGGTATAAAGCAGCGCCGAGCCGACCTCGCGGCAGCGTAACGAGCGATGGCCTGATAAGATACAAGCGTGTTCTTGATTAATACGATTCACTTGTTTTTACGTAACAATTTGCACAGAGAAAGAGGGAAGGATCGCGTTGACGCTCGCGTATGAATATGCATGGAGATTGAGAATTAAAAAATGCAGTACAAAGAAGGGAATAGAAAAATGCAACAACGTATCTTTCCAGGCGATCGCCCTTGTCGACGGGAACAATGCGCTGGGTCAGGTAGTGGGAAAGCACTGTATGGAATTGGCCATGGATAAGGCCCAAAAGTTTGGCGTTGGATTGGTCTCGGCGAGGGGCTCCAATCACTTCGGTATTTGCGGATACTACTCTCTAATGGCAATGGAGAAGGGCCTTATCGGTTTCAGCTGTACGAACACAAGTCCCCTGATGGTGCCGACCCGAGCGAAAAAGGCCGGACTAGGCACCAATCCACTGTCACTCGGTATGAGCTCTGGGGATGACGAATTCGTTCTGGACATGGCCACCACTGCCGTGGCTCTTGGTAAAATTGAACTTGCAATGCGCAAGGAACAGCCTATTCCCATAGGATGGGCCTTGGATTCTGAGGGGAACGTCACGTCAAATCCGGAAGACGCCTACGCCGCGAACCTGATGATGCCGCTAGGAGGCACCGAGGAGCATTCCGGATACAAGGGGTATGGTCTGTCACTGATGGTTGAGGTACTTTGTGGAATTCTTAGCGGAAGTGAATTCGGGCCCAACGTAAGAACATGGAAGTCAGGGGACCGCGTTGCCAATCTCGGTCATTGCTTCATGGCGATCAATCCTGAGGCTTTTACTTCCGGATCCAAGGAACGACTCAGTCGTCTTCTGGGACAGCTCAGGAATCTACCCCGTGCCGGGGAGAAGGAAATCCTGGTGGCCGGCGACCCTGAAAGAAAGGCCATGGCCAAGGTCGACCAAGACGGCGGCATTACGTATCACGTGAATCAAATCAAGAACTCCGAAGAATTTGCCAGGCGCATGGGCGTCGAACCTATGAAATTGAGGCCCAAAAATAACATTTAAGCATACCTATATATGTATATGCTTGACTCATATGCTTGAAAAGACCATTCGTCTATCTTCATAAATATTCTTTAAATCATATTTTTCTGTATTTTCGTACTATTTGCCTATTATACTGTACTACTGTACATTTCATAGAGCGAGTTCGTTTATTAACACGAATTGTTATGCCAGACTATAAATAACGTTATCTTATTTTATATACGCAATGACTCCGGCGGTTCGTCAAAAGACTTGCCGCTCGGGCCAAGTGTTTAAACCGGCGTGCATATGCCTAAGCCATATCAGTACGGATAATCAAATTTGTATAATTCGAATGGCACGAAGTTACGCAATGCCCTGTTTATATATACATTTTTTTTTTTTTTTTTTGGTGGCAAAAATATTCTTCCGCGGTCCACTAGTCTTCTGTACAGAAGAAAAAGACATCTTTGTCGAGTGATGCTCATGGCCGTAAGCTGTAGGTGTAAGTAGAACGTCCCGGTAGGGGATCAGCCAGCGAATCGTCATCCAGCAACAAACTGTGCCAACTTTATAGATAATGTTTACTCGCCGATCGAGTTCTCGTGTAATTCAATAATTTGATGGAAACTGGCGAGTCGCGTTCGCTCGGCGATACGGTGACGCAACAGTTATGCGATTTGATTACCGTCAAAGATGACGACCTTGGCTGATGCCGCCTCGTCAAATCTCGATTACGCTACGCATACGTTCGCCAATCGTGCAGTCGATACGAACATGCACGTATATATACATATCAATACATTAAGATACTCGTACCACCTCCGTCTTGCAGTTTAAGCGATGCCTGCACTTCGCGTCAATAATAAACACAATGAGCGCGCCATTTTTTTACCTTAAGAAGAAAAAAAACTTGGCAGCTATATTTTGCCTGCTCACAGTGTATAACGAACAAAAATTTGTTCCGATTGTGCAATAAATAATAATTTGAATTTTTTCGCGACGTTATATTTCTTGCATTAATTCCTTATTCCTTATTTGCATTATTTAACGCAAAACCACAGTTTCTGATAGATTGTCAGGTCCTTATCTCCCCAGCTTCTCGTTAGGCTCGAAGATCGGGGGTGGTTGACCAGAGGAGGCCATTCTTTTTCTTGTTTTACAGTTTATATCGTTAATTCAGTAAACAGGGTTATCACGTAAATAATAGAGGCGTTGCGTCTGTGAGCGATTTAAAAAGTTCTCGCGTTATCGTAACCAAAGGTCACAAGACATCGTCGTCCCAAGCGGACAGTCCTTGTAACGCAAATGTTTTTCAATGAGCCCCACGTAACGCTAAAAAGCATGCTAGAGATTCACGCGAAAAACATATCCAAGACAATCGGTAAGTTATGAAATTTTGGAAAATCACCAAAGTCTAAATTTGAAAAAAATTGATTTCTACTCCGTTCTATTCGCATTCGTAATTCCCGCCGCGATAACCTCGCTGAGTGTGTCAGCGCGCAACGGAGAATAATAATTTTCATAGTAGAAAGTGACATCACAATTTTCTATTGAATAAATTGACATATTCTTTGTCTTCGTCGACAATCAATACGTGTCCTGGCTTACAGGTGATATTGCTAGACTTTCAATTAATTCTATTCATTGGTCGATAAACCGATATTCTTTACTGCCGGCGATCCAATCAGAATTTCATATCTGGTTTATATGTACATATAGACGCATTAAAGAGGCACCACCTTTATTCCGCATAGCACAGTCTACTGAAAGACGATTTCTAATATGAATTCAAAGTGAACGCATAACTTTAGCATTACTTAACACCTTCCTGTGTCTTGGCAACGGGACTAAATCACTATGAGATAGTTCGATTATGCATAGTCGACATTCCTGACAGTCTGTCCTAGCCTCCTTCTTTCATTTCATTATCCTAATGCGACAATAAAGTGAAAGAACGCGACATTTTGTTACTTTGACAATCAGCTACTGTATACATATTCATGCATAGTTATGATTATTATAACGAGTCACTATTCACGCTGGCGACACACGGAAATAGACATACGCCGATATAACCCTGAAACGTGAATTTCAAATTTCCATGTGTTGAATTTGGACACGGTAAATTAATTTATATAAATTTTAATTATTGTATCGGATTATTGTGCGATGTAGATATTCGTATACTCTTCCAGGGTCAATTGTATTTGCCGGACCTCTCGATGACTTCAGAGATACATCTGTCGCTGTACGCGAGTTCAAGGGTTATCGTAGAGTTCAATATTTGTCGTGCCTTATCGCTTTAAAAATTTCATCTCAAATTTTTTTTTTTAATATTCTCTCAATAAAAGACTCGTAACATTCAAATACACTGGGTCTTATTCTGTATGCATGATTTCACTAGAACCTATTGACGGAATCATTTCGAATCTCGGCCAGTCATTAAATCAATTAACGCTAATACGATTTCTCTCGTTAGACTCATTTGATGATCGGTAATCGAGCTATCCGTCCTAGACCCACTAATTATTTTTTTTTTTTTTTTTTTCTTTTTTTATATACAGATACTAATAGGCTGGTCAATTTGTACGAGGAAAAATTTATGTGAATTGAAAAAAAATTACTTCCCTTGTTTTTTCTCTCATCCTCTCGATGCATCATTAATCTGCAAGGGTGGTAACAATGCACAGGCAGTCTCATGCAAACAGGAAAGAAGGTTAATTGAACAAACGATCTGTCCAAAATGCAATCAGGCTCCTGATGCATTCGAGCCACAGGGTGATTCATTGCAGCTTCATCTGACTCGCATTAACTAATTCAATGGTCTAATATGGCAGAGCGGTTAGGGGTCATGAACCCATGAGACATCCTGAGCAGCCCATCATTTCTACCATAGCCATATATCTATGCCTATCACCATAATGTGAATACCCTTATCGCAAGACCGACAAAATCATTTAAGACAGACGACTTTTGCCTTGCACTTAAATTTTCTTATAGATCCCCGAGTGATCTCCCGTCCACAGCTATTATTCAAATTGATCGTTCTCGCAAAGTTTGCCATATCCGTTAACGCTCGCGGGTCTGTCGAGACTTCGTAAAATATCCAGCAAACATTTGCCCGGTGCGAACACGTCTTATTGGCTTGGTCGTATTTATGTAAGTTGGACGTCGAAGGCAACTCTGAGTATCCAAACCGAAAGAGTTTCACGGCTCAGAAATAATCTTCGAGACCAATTGAAAAAGTCCTAGAAATTTATCTCGAATATAAGGCTGTTGACCCATATGGTTTCGTTAAATATTTAAAGTGTATATATATGTATATTTAGATACCAATAGTTACGCTAGCACGCAATGAGCGTAGATAGCGTAAACAGTGGCGATGGTCATTGATTAACGATTCGTTGTACTCGAGATGACGTCATCGATTGTCGCAAATTTACCTGTCGGCTTTTTTACCATTAATCTTTCGCGTTATCTATGTTTCTTGATGTTTAACATGGAAACATACCGAATAAGAGTTGGGCAAATAGGCAAGATGAAAATTTATAACCGCTCTTGGATAATGTGGCTTCGCGAAGGAAAATAATGTCTCAGTCCACATTCATCGGCGGGACACGTTAATTTTATTTTTTATCGTTCTCCACTTTGCATTAATCCAAAAAAAAAAGAGTTGTGCCAAATAAAAAGAAAATTCATCCCCAAACAATCTAATTGCAATGTTCGAGTGATCGATCGTCTGGACGCGTCCGGTCGCGAAATCAAGCGTCGTTCGGGATAAAGAAAATGTTCAAAATAAAAAAACCAAAGGAGTACGTGCTGGTGGAGAGACTTCCGAAAATAGACAACGAAATAGGATGGCGTTACAGGGTCATAGAATCACCGACCGTTCAGATCATCGACAATGGAAAGGTTAATTTTTCTTATTTTTTTTTCTTTTTTTTTCCTAATCGCTTACAATACATCCAAGTCATCGATGATTGATCCAAGATCGATGGGATGCTGGATCCACGCGTTACCACTTGATCCGGTCGTTGAAAACGTTAATCGGAATTGCCGAGCAATTTTGGTCAATGATAATTCGTGACTTTGAAGGCAGCTTCCTACGAGCCCTCGCTGGGGGGAAGTGGTCCATTACCGAACAGCTTCGTACAGTCGTGCGCGAAAGTAGCTACATCGTAGGAGAGTCTATACGGAGAGTTAGTGAAGGGGGATAATGAAACAAGAAAAAAAAAAAGGAATTTCTACAAATAAAAAATGAAACCCCTAAAAAAAAGCATTAGATCCAATCAGATTCTGCTCTGGTGACTGAAGTTCTAGTTGGGGCCGATCGTTTCGCTAATTTTCGCAACTTTTGTCAACTCTTCTTCCAAGTACCTACAGGCGCTTTCAGCGGGCACGCAACGCGCGACGCGACGAGAGTGCGCCTTGACGCAAGTGCGAACGTTGCGCGCAAAGGGCAAAATGGCTGTGCGGCTAACGAGTTTATAAATTGAGCCACGGGCCGGCGTGCGGCCGAGCGCTGAGGTTCGCCTGGAGCTGGTCCAGTGTGACTCACTCGGTCACTCTATTGACAATGGAGTGTCGTTAATTTCGCAGTGGCTTAACGGTACTTTCGCATTCGTGGGCTACTTATTTCATCCGCCTTCAATCCCGTTTACACGTGCTTATGCAGATACGCATGGAACAGTGTGAGGCACTTAGCTATCGAGGAAGACCACGGGTCCAGGGCCTTTAGATGAGATCCCCCAGCATCTTCCCGTGATGTGTTTTCATGCGATAAATCTCGCGTCGATTGCATAAGAGAGAGAGAGAGAGAGAGAAAAAGAAGAAATAAAATATCTCGAGAGAAGCATGGCTGGCCAAACGAACAAGGCCGACCTCCGGGAGGAAAGTCTTCATCATCATCATCCGGAAGGAAGCGAGGAGGAAGTTGACAAGGAGTGGGAAGAGTTTACAAGGCTAATGGCAAAGTTGAAGGAAAACCGGAAGAATCATCCCCACAGGTAAAACCGGTCAGAGAAAAATATTTTTGAAAAACCACGAGGCTATCAGGGACGAGGGATTCCACGGTAGACATGGTTTTTTCCTTTTTCACATTTGTTTTCCAATTTTACACACGCAGACCCTCTCAAACGTTCTACCCCTGTCCTCCGCCAAATCCGGAAGAGGAACAACCGGAATTCGACCCGTTCGACTACATAAACACTATTGTAAGATTGAGTTTGTCTTTTTTTCAAAAATAGCTACTCGCTAAGCCTTGCCCGAAGTTACGCGCCTCCGCGCGTGCATGTACGCGCGAATCTTCAACGTTCGTTTCCCTTTCTCTCGCTTGACTTTCGCAAATTCGCAAAATTCCAAGGAAACCGATGCTCGGCTCGACTTTACTCGTGGATTTCGTAAATGCCAATGAACGCCAAGTGTTATAATTAAATCGACGCCATCTGCTGCAGCCGAGTACCCAAGACAATACACCAGCAGCAGACGATTCCCCAGACGAAGTCTAAAAACGTCCCTTGCCAGGAGACAATTCATATACCTGATTTCCCCCCGGCCCCTCTCTCGGCCCCAAATCCTCACATGGATATTCATACACGCGAGACACCCAAACACCCAGTCACGCACTCCCCTCTCGTCCCGCCAATCGGAGAATCCATTCCGCCGCAAGATATTCCAACAGCATCCAAAGGCGACCTTTGGGACTTGGCCAAGCAGCAGGGAATGACAGTATCATTTCGAAATAACCACGTGGAACCAAAGCGCGCCTGAGACATTGGAATTCAGTCATATTTACATGCCAGCATGGACTACCGAAAGACCCATTGAAAATCCATAATCAAACAATTTTGTCAAATGGTAATCGACTGAAAAAATCGATTAATAAAAATGTCAAATCCAATCAAAAACATTGATCGATACATTTGTCAGATTGAATTGAAAAAAAATATATTTCCCCTTCCCATTCTTCTCACACCTATCCGTCACATGCAACCTCGTCCTTGGATACTCGCCTTAATCCCAGTCACGAGATATCACGCGGTCGTAACGTCTTTCGCAATGCCGTAAAGTCCTCCCCCATTATTGCGCTCCTCGTGCGGAGACGCCATAAGCAACGACAGAAGAGTAAGAAGAGTCATCATTGTTCCCATGGCAATAGGCAAACGTCAGATTCTCTTCTCCCTGTTATCTCCCTGCGCGTACCATCTTTATGTAACTTTCTATTTTTTTACTCATTTCTTTCAACCTAACAACAAAATAATTACACTCGGCTAACAATGGCAGACGAAAGACGCGCCTCTAGGCAGCGACTCCTTGTCATCCCACAAAGTTCCAACAATCAAGTCAGCAGTCTCACCTATGCGCTAAACCATTCACGTCGGTCGCTTTTAAACTGACAGCTTCTCTTCACCTCCTCGCCCACTACATATTCTTCGCTCTATATTATGTCTACGCCACATATGTAGAAGCGTACGACACGTCGCTGAACGAGCGCTTACGGACTTGTTATGCATATGAGGGATGCGTGACCGGCATGCGCAATTTCATCATGTGACTACGTGCATGCATTTTACGGTAGCAGCGACTGATTTTTTCTCGCGAAATCACATCTGGACCGAATGCATTTTAATTTCATTTTTTTTTTTTTAATAATCGAATCTTTCGATGCACGAGGAATGTTCATGATGTTGAAAACGATACATGCTGTCTCGTACGGGCGCATCCTCAGCGTCGCTGCAGGCTGCGCTCGACGCGATTGTGGTTTTTCTATTCTATTGATAGAGTCCAATCGCTAATTCTATAGAGGCCTAATTACTAATGTTAGAGAACCGGCCGATTGCCCAGTGGGACGTGGTCATTACTGACGTCAATAACGAGCCTTTCCACGCAGGGTGAATCATTTTCTGAACGCTATGGAAAATACAGGTGCAAGTTCACGTACGATGAGTAACGTAGAATTGTGAAAACTTTTGGAAATTGGTATAACCAAATTTCTTATGGTTTTAAGTATTTTCACCTTTTTTTTTTCCTCTTAATTTTTCCCTTCGGCTATAACCCAAATTGCGTCCCCGGTCTATATACTGCATATAAAAATATCTAGTGTACGTCTGTATATTTATATCCCGCATGCCCCTTGAGAATTTGTATCTACATATATCTACCGAATGCCGATACGGAGTATCGAAACGTCAGTCAAAAAGGGGATCTCCTATTGAACAGATACTGCCTTTGGCGAATATTAATTTTGTGTATGAAATATCGCAACTTTTTTCCGTGACAAAAAAATTATCCGAGTGATTGTCCGATCCCTCTTGCGCAAAATGCTCACCATGTTTTTACTTTTGGTCATTGTTTATTACGAATTCAAAGTGGCCGAGTACGTAATGGGATATATGATAAACTGACAGTGAACGTGTTGAACTAAAAAGAAAATCGATTGAGTTAATTGGCATTAATGCCGTATTTTCGAATATGTTATCACAAAGCCCGTAATCCACACGAGGACTTGTAAATAAGAAATACAGTAACCGTTCGATTCGGCAATTTAATCAATTGTCTGTATGTAGTAGAAAAAAAAGTCAAAATTTGAAGGGGGAAAAAAAAATAAGAAAATACAAAGGAAAGTCCAGCCGTTAAATATATAAAGTAATAAAAATTGCTCAATTCACGTCGCAACTAGAAGGCCGCTAATTGGACTTCATAAACAATAGGAAATGCAGCAGGGGAGCTACACTCTATTAATAGAATTTTGACTCTTGCCAAATTTCGACAAATTCAGCCTAGACTTCTTCTCCACTGGCCGACGAGCGAACAGTCACCGTCTGTCTGTTCTCGGGTCGCTTGGGGTGCGTTCGACGGCAACCCTTGGAGCGGTATAAAAAACATTATTTCTATGAAAAAAACGGTGCAGACAATTTTTGCGAGAAGCAAAAAATGGCAGTGAGTCTTCCGGTCGACATTTATTGTACAAGAGTACTGAGGATATCAGGATCGGCTGTTGTTCCTGTCGGTTGGGAGTGATTGATTAATTTTGATAAAAAAAAAAAATGTTCAAAATTGTTTCCTTATCAAAGTATCACCCTTATCGCTCGAGTACGCTAAGCAGATACTCGGGATACTAGTGCGCCTATACTTTCTATGCCGGCCGTTGTCCTGAACAGGGCCTACTTCGTTTGTAACGATGACTACGTTGTAAGTGCAACCTGAACTTTGACCTATCCATGCTCGCAATTTTACATCCGAGATTGTTGCACTCTTTAACTTTATTATTTCTAACAAATAATCCTGCCTGATACCACAGACACTTCTATCGTGTACACCTGTAATCTAGAGTGCGAACACGTGTTCCAAGAAACGAATCATCGATCTGTGCTTATCAACCATATTATCATGCACAATGATAAAAAATTGTAATTAGATCACAAACTCATTAACGAGCTTGAAGATCGTGCGATCCTAACAGAGATTATTTGCATGGAGTAACCCGTGTCTATTGAACATCTAGATGTATGGTCGGTACACGAAGGACCTGGGTGAATACGCAAAGGAAGAAGCAAGAAAGCTAAAGTACCACAACAAGGAGAGAAGGAAGTTCGACAAATCGCGCGCGGAGGAGCTATCGAAATCCAGAAGGGGTCCATTGTGCAGAAAATTATTAGCTCTATTGGCATTCGCATGGAAGCACACGGGAGCGAGGCTGGGAGAGGACTGGGTCTTCCTGGCACTACTGGGAGTGATAATGGCACTGATAAGCTACGCGATGGACCGCGGCATATCTATGTGCAACAATGGTGACTATTGGGAGCGTCGGAGAAAAGTTGAAAAATGGTCTCTGAAACGTTTGAATCTTCTTTCAGCAAGGATATGGCTCTACCAGGACCTGACGACGCACCCTGCTCTCCAATATCTGGCCTGGGTGTCCTTGCCGGTCTGCCTGATCTTGTTCAGCGCAGGCTTCGTGCACATCGTGGCGCCGCAGAGTATAGGCTCGGGGATACCTGAGATGAAGACCATCCTGCGTGGAGTAGCGCTCAAGGAATACCTAACCTTCAGGACCCTGGTGGCCAAGGGGATAGGCCTGACGGCCACCCTGGGCTCGGGTCTTCCTCTGGGAAAGGAAGGACCCTTCGTCCACATCGCCAGCATCGTCGCGACCCTACTCTCAAAACTAGTCACTAGCTTCCAGGGGATCTACGAGAACGAGAGCAGAAACTGCGAGATGCTCGCCGCCGCCTGCGCCGTCGGCGTCGCGGCGTGCTTCGCCGCGCCCATCGGCGGCGTCCTCTTCAGTATCGAGGTCACCACCGTCTACTTCGCCGTGCGCAATTACTGGAGAGGATTCTTCGCTGCCGTTTGCGGCGCCACCATGTTCAGGCTCCTCGCGATTTGGTTCCAGAGGGAGGAAACCATCACGGCCATGTTCGTCACGAATTTCACTATGGACTTTCCCTTCGATCCTCAGGAGTTGTTCATCTTTGCCCTGATTGGTGTTGGCAGTGGACTGGGCGGTGCTTTTTACGTCTGGTTGCACAGGCAGTACGTCATATTTATGCGCAAGAACAAGAGCATGAACAGTTTCCTTCGGAAGAAGTAAGAATTCGATAATTCATTAAAAAAAAGAAAATCGTCGACGAGAAATATTTCATTTTTTTTTTTTTACAGTCGATTTCTATATCCTGGAATTGTCTCCCTCATGGTGGCTTCCGTTTCCTTTCCCCTGGGACTGGGACAATTCATGGCCGGTGACCTGAACACTCACGATCAGGTTCATGGACTCTTTACTAATTTCACCTGGACCAAAGATACTCTGACAGTCGAGGAGAACAACATCGTCAAGCACTGGTCCACGCCGTATTCTGACGTCTTCACAGGACTTTTGAGTTTTGTAGCATTCACAGTAAGACTTCACTATCAGCGATAACATCAATAGACCGCCGCTGATAGCTGTCCAGTTTCACAATTCCACTTGTCTTTCTAGTTCATCTTTTCGATAATAAGCTCCACTGTCCCGGTGCCATCGGGAATCTTCATTCCAGTATTCAAAATAGGCGCAGCGTTGGGAAGAGCAGTAGGCGAAGCCATGGCTCTATGGTTTCCCAATGGCGTTAGATACGGCGGAATAATAACTCCCATAACACCAGGTAAATGAGAAATTCCTCGATTGGCAGAATTTATTTTCTAGGAAAACAACATTTTTCTAAACGCAGGTGGATACGCCACTGTTGGCGCGGCTGCATTTTCCGGGGCAGTCACTCACACCATCTCTGTCAGTGTCATAGTGTTCGAAATGACTGGTCAGATTACACACATCGTACCGATAATGATAGCCGTGCTAATTAGCAACGCCATAGCCGCCCTTCTGCAACCCAGCATATACGACAGCATCATTCTAATCAAGAAGCTGCCTTATCTGCCCGACTTGTTACCATCCAGTTCAGGTGAGTTCAGACCGTGCCGGAATTTTCCAAAAAAATTCCATCTCAATTGTTCTCTCTCATTCACGCTACTCTAACAGGATTTTTGGTAAGGATCAGGCTGTACGAAACTATTAAAAAAAAAAAAAAAAAAAAGTACGTATTGACTTCAGCCATTTTTTCTTCAGGTATGTATAACGTCTACGTGGAGGACTTCATGGTGCGCGACGTCCGATACATCTGGCACGGTATAACCTATCAGAGATTGAAGGAGATGCTGAAGGAGAATCGTAAATTACGGGGATTCCCCCTAGTCGATAATCCAGACTCCATGATTCTCTTGGGATCCATTCAGAGGCTCGAGCTGATCAAGCTCATCGAGAAGCACATCGGTCGGGAGAGGAGACTCCAGGTGGCGCAGAGGTGGCACAAGGAAGCGGAGGAAAGAGCGAGAGAGGAGATTGAGAGACAATTGCGAGAGCAAGAGAGAACGAGGAGACCATCCAGATTCGAAGTGATACCAGCGCCGGACATTTTGAAAATGCAACGTCAGAGCACTAATGACTTGAGCATGATGCCCAACGCTGCTTCTGATCACGTGAGCATCCTATTTATTCGCACCGTTACAAATGTCTCATTTTTACTGCCGTTACTCAAACCGTACGTATTCTTACAGCACACCTATCACACGCCTGTGTTTGGCTCGCAGCCAAAAAAATCTATTTTGAAAAAAACTAATTCGTTCACTCTAAAAGGATTCAGTCCTCTGGCAAGTCCCGCCGTTACGCCCTATACCACCGTCACAGGTGCAGAAAGCAGGTGGGACCATTCATCAACATTATTTTTTTCAATATTTCTTCTACGCCCTCAGAGCCCAATTTACATAGGGAAATTACACGATCCTTTTAGAATTCGATTGGCCTTCGAGGCAATCTTCAGAAAATCCGCTACGCTACAGGATGTGGATCCTGATCCGGAAATGGGTTCCGGTCACGTGACCGCCGCAAGAAGAGACAGCGTGGAAAGCTTAAACGTCCCGGCGCACCAGCCAATGTTAACGCCGAGTCCGGCGACGTCGAAAAAAGTACAATTGGTAAGTCAATTAGGTCCAATTAACTGATATCCAAGTCCCTCAGACGTATCGGGCAGATTAGAGAACTAGTACCACGTAAAGCTCATCAAAATTTTCAAAAACACATCGTCAACTGTTACACGCTAATTCTTCGGGATCCCGTGACTGATAATAACCCGATAACTGATCCCCAGTGAAATTGAAATGCTCGTGATAACTCGAGCTAATCGTCGCTTTATATAAATTGACCTTCTCTCTCATCTAGCCAAGGGAACGCGTGATTGACATGTCAGCCGAGGATCAAAAGCAATGGGAGGAGAGCGAAATGGCACTGGAGGTGGATTTCTCAAGGTGCCACATAGATCCGGCGCCATTTCAACTTGTCGAGAGGACTTCCCTCCTCAAGGTTCACAGTCTGTTCAGCATGGTTGGCGTAAATCATGCCTACGTAACGGCCATTGGTCGACTGGTGGGAGTAGTGGCATTGAAAGAGGTAAGCATTTTACAGAGAAAAAGACAAACCTGAGATCATGGATTATCTTCATCTTTTTCATTAATGACAAATCGCGATTAACTTCACAGCTGAGAAAAGCCATTGAAGACGCTAATGCGGGAATCCTACCAATGCACCACGAACCGCATCTGGCTGGTTCCAGTTCGAGTTTAGTGAAAAGCGAAGCGGATTCCGAAGGTAAAGGCGCATCCACGATAAACTCTGTGGCGTCGGTCGAGAGCGACAAGATTGAGAAGGCTTGAGAGCTTGGATCGCGCTATATTTTTCCTAGGAAGATGAAAAAAAGAAGCCATTGTGATAGTCGAGTCGCTGGAGCGACGTCGACCTATTCCCTTATAAAACTACAAAACGTGTATACATATATATTTATATATGTGTATACAGATGGCTGTGCGTGGCTGAGCGACAAAAAAAAAAAAGAAAAATGAATGTCAAACATTATTTCCAAAAAAAAAAAAGGCAAAAATTATACTCTAGGAGGACTGTCAGTCTTTTTTCTTTCAGGATTTTCTGTTTTTTTTTTTTTATTGCAGACTCGAAATAAGAATGAAAATTTTACAAGAATATTGCTGGTCGTTTCGAATAAATGGACTTCGTTTTATAATTAGTGACCCTGTCGTGCACTCGATATGCTTGTAAAATTATTATAAAAGAATTTAATTAGACTTGGGCTACTAATAAAAAATTATAGTACGTATGCGCTTCCGGTAATTCCTGACGGTTCTCCTGTAGTATGAATTTGTAAATGACGAAAGAATTATGTCAGAAGGAATTTAGCGATAGTTCAAGAGGAATATAAAGACAAGAGAAGCGATATATATATATATATACATACCTGATATATACTTGAATATCAGTGCTCAAAAAATTCCAAAAATGAATCGAGCGAGTCTCGTTGCAGTCTTTCGGGACAATTGTTAAAAAATACAATACGGTGCTAATTAGAATTCGATAAGCTAAGTCCATCTGAATTTCTAGTTAAGTCAAACCGCGATGCGCGAGTAAAAGAAAAAAAAAAATGTCTGCACAAAAAGGATGATACTGTAGTTTCCTAGCCGTGTCACCTTAATGTGGTTGTGCTAAAATATACATGATTAATCGATAAGTCGCAAAACGTATATACGCAATAATTAATATATAAGCGTGAAGACGAGAAAAACAAAAGTTAAAACAGAGAAACGAGCCAATAGAATAGACTGTAGATTTAAGTAGCGAATTAAGTAGTTCCAATCGAGCAAAACAATTGTTACAATTATCTAGAACGCCTATTGCTTTTCTTTAGAATTTTTGTTTCAGCTTTTTCATTCTACCCCACTTAGAGACTTCTAGCTCGCGTCAAAGACTTCTCTCAAATTCTAACAATTTTTATAATAAATCTACCTTTCTTTTTCAACATTCCAATATATCGAAAAGTGACGCGACGAAATGACATATTCCTTATTAGCCATTTCTTCTATTCTTTGTATTTCTTTGAGCAAGTTCGTCCAAAATTATTGCACACAGCTGTGTATCTGTTGTTGTCCACTGTTATAACGTAATTGTAAATAATAATACGATTATTATTACAATTGCGACGCCAAGACGAACCCAGCGATAAGCGTCATAGTTACGACGTTGCGCGTTCGATACTTTATTGTCTTGTCATGTGTAAATATTATAGCTGCATACGTTGCTGATGTACATGGACCCTCACATATGTTTCATTGAGAAAAGACATTAAATAACTTATTACGGTAAACGTAATTGACTTCTTATTTCCATCTGCCTTCCTTATAAATCGAGCCACTACCAGCATATGAAGTTTTATCTCCTCTCTAATGTGGCCACCTAATAGTCAGGTGATATCATCTTGGAAGTACTACACTAATAAAATAAAACCCTCCCAAAAAACACGTGTGAAAGAATATGCCAAATAAGGGTATGCTGTAAATTCCTCTAAACAATACACGGATCTGTCAAAAATTATAATGGCCAAATTAAATTAAATGAATTTGCATTAGTTCGAATTTTCGCCGATAAGAAGGCAGCACCTCCTGGCATCATAAGTGGTGCCATCTATGAGTTAACGAATGAACTTTCTACGATAAAGTCGATTTTACCTTTCTAATTGTTGATCTCTTACTTTCTGTCTTTATCCCTCACTGAAATGTACTCATTTAATCGTTCCTATTTCTTTCTTCACTTATGCTATCCAGGAGGTGCACGATTTCGCCTTATCGGCGAAAATTGACTAATGCACATTTATTTAATATGCATTGACCTATTTAAATTTCGATGATGTAGTTTTCAAATTACATTCAAACTAATTCGAACGCTCGAAAGATTTAAATTAAGGGAAGAAATAAAGAAAACTTACTCACCGCTTGCCGATTTCCTAGGAACAGACGATGACAACTGGTTGTTCATTATCCGTTTACTTAACCGAGTTTGTTTCAGTAGGGCAGCAACCATTCTTTCACAGTCACTAATCATTTCACTGATTCTACTGGATCGCATTGCACGCGATCAATTAAAATGATACATGAATTTTTTACTCTCTTTGCACGACGAACTACGAGTGAATTAACTCGGCGACTTGTTCACGAACTTTTCTGTAAAATAAAACAAAGTGAACGATTAAGTTATTGGTGCGTTAGATGATACGGTGTATCCCCACCATTTTCGGTATCAAACTTTTTTTTGTAAAAATCAAAAAACATTATATATTACACTCAAGAATTTATAGTTTTATCAAAGACGATGTACTTCAAACATATTTATAAATGTATTGATCATATAGTTGATCATGCATATGTAACTATAGGCACATAATAATGTTTCTAAAAAAAACATGCTTTCATTATAAAGTGTAAATCATTGTAAAAGATAACTACTTTATCCACTGTAGTTATCTTTTACAAGAGCGCATGCCCAGCACTTTACAGGATCAAAGATAATTTTTAGGAACAGATGAGATAAATCATGAACTGTTGAGGATGAAACATAGAGTGGTTGATCTGTCAAAAAAGTAGGAGAAACACTTGTCACTCCGTAGAATTTGATGTATTCTAATTAACATAAATGTGAAAATAAAAAGCACTTGTGAATATGGCCTTTCTGGAGGTAAATTTTTGCTGAAATATTGACAAGATTTTCTGCTTAAAACAAAAATTCCAAAACTGTATAACCTCCCCTCTCAATTGATATTCATCATTTTTGCATTGTTTTGCAGTGGAGACGTTTTAATTTTTTCGACCTCAAGAAAGAAGTCGACTCTGGAAAAATTGCTGAAGCTTTAGGGGTTAGTTTTTGAAACCGAATAAAAATATTCATGTATTACGTTACAGCACTTACCCTGCGATTATACTTCTATTCTCAATAGGATGCTAAAGTAACAGCGGCAACTAGTGGAAATGGAAACTTGGTTTTTGGGGATAGTACTGGGAACGTACGATTGGTCAATAGAATGTATAACGTAGTAAGCTTCAAAGCTTATGAAGACAGTCTGACATTAGCACAACAAGTTCAACATTCCACATACCTTTTTACCATAGGAGTAAGTATTCCTTCAAGTTTGACAATCCCTGAGCTTCTCATAGGCATTACTCATTATCCTTAATTTCTTCAGGAAGATGAACCAGGCTGTAATCCTATTATAAAAGTATGGAATCTAGCAAAACCTGATAAACAAGGCAATCCAACTTGTGTTAGAATTAGCAGAGCAGTTCCTGGTTATAGAGCAGTACAGGCCACTGCACTCTGTGTTCATTCAAGCCTTACCCTGATGGCTGTTGGCTTCGGTGATGGCTCTATTATGCTTTACAGGTAAAATTATTTAAGGACTCCTTCTCAGTACTGTCCATCCACTACTTTCAACTTTTCAGAGGTGACTTGACTAGAGAAAGAAAAAATAAAATAAAAGTGCTTAAGGACAGCAGTGCTCCTATCACTGGACTAGCCTTAAAAACCTCTGGCAGACAGCACCACATGTTTGTAGCCACAACAAATAGTGTATTTCTTTACAACATAACAGTAAAAGATAAAGAATTCAAATCTTCCTTGGATAATATGGGTTGCTCAATGAAGTGCAGTGTCCTTGCTGAGACCATTCAGGATAGCCATTTTATGATAGGCCAGGATGATGTACGTAGAGTATCTTAAACTTGATACTGGTCCTATATAAATTCATTGTCCAGGCAATATACTGTTATACTCCGGATGGCCGAGGACCGTGCTACGCAGTGGCAGGTACAAAAATAATGCTGGAATGGTTCCGGAGTTACCTTGTTATAATAGCAAAGGAAGCAGCCAATGTCCCCAGGACTACTACCACGATATCTGCCAAGCCCAAGTATTTATAATCACCATCAATTACAATAGAGCGGCGACTTATTAAATAAACAATACTATTTTTCAGTACAATAGAACCAATACCACCAGGTGTCGATAAACACGTAATCACGGTTCTTGACATTCAAAATAAATTCATTGTATTTTCTGCAACAATGCTATCGGTGCAAGCTGTCTTATCAGAATGGGGTGGCTTCTTTATCCTAAGTGGCGATAATAAACTTTATCATCTAGATGAAAAGGACCTACAATCTAAATTAGCATTGCTCTTTAAAAAAAATCTATACGACGTTTCCATTAGGCAAGAATGATTTAAATGACATAGATATTGAATGTATTCAAAATTTCCATGATCTGCAACGTTCTGTTACCTTTATAGAATAGCAAAGAACCAACAATATGATGCTGAAGGACTGGTTGATATATTTCGCCAATATGGAGATCATCTATATTCAAAAGGCGATCACGTTGGGGCCATAGAACAATACATTAAAACTATAGGGCACCTAGAGGCGTCATACGTTATAAGGAAATTCCTGGATTCCCAGCACATAGATAGTCTCACAACATATTTACAAGCTTTACATAAGCAGGGACATGCTACGGAAGATCATACTACGTTACTCTTGAACTGTTATACTAAACTCAATCATACAAAGAAACTCAAAGAATTTATAATGGTTAGAAACCATTCATATTTATTTTTCTAAGCTATCAAAGTATCCAGGTCATATTTTGTTAATTATCTGCATTTTAGACTAAGGACAGGGAAGTAGATTTTGATGTTGAGATTGCTATAAAAGTCTGCCGACAAGCATCACCAGAGGATGCATTACTTCTAGCTCAGAAGCATGGGCAGCATGAATGGTATCTTCGGATTCAAATAGAGGACAAGGGTGAATACAAAAAAGCTCTAGAGTACATGGCAACTTTGGACTTTGAAGAGGTAAAGGATGATTAAGGAATACCCTGGGACTTTTCTATAATTTGATATCCTGCAGGCTGAAGAAAATACAAAGAAGTACGGTAACGTTCTGATAGAGAATATTCCCCAGGAGGCAACCCAATTCTTAAAAAGTCTTTGCACAAACTATAGACCTTCAAATAAACCACTGATTGATCAGGTTTGTATTACATAAATCATTTTAAAAATATCTGTATTTTCTAACTTGAACACTGGGAGTTTAGAATATGTTGGATGGCACTATCGAACAGCACGTGGACAGGGCTAATCCCGAGGACTTTATACACTTGTTTCTGAATAATTCAGAAAGACTAGTGGAGTTCCTTGAGCACTTAATCAAGTGTGATGGCAAGTAAGTACCATATGGAATTTCACATTGAAAGACATTTATATTCTTGTATCACTCAGATGGAGCACCCTGGTTTATAACACTCTGGTCGAACATTATCTTCACGTTTGGTCGGCTCTTGACAATGAAGTAACGAAATTGCAGTATGAACAGAAAGTCGTTCGGCTCTTGCAAAGTTCAGAGGCCTCTTATGACAAGGATCAAATATTAATTTTATGCCATCAACATAATTTTCGGAGAGGAATTCTCTATCTCTACGAGGAACGGAAACTGTGAGTCTATGATACAGCTTCTAGCTTCTTGTACCGACTAATTGTAACCTTGCAACAAAATTTATAATATGGCTTGACAGATACCAAGAGATTCTACAGTACCACCTAAGGGAAGGTGATAGCGAGCAAGTCCTGGCGACTTGCAAAAGATTTGGTCATCAGGATCCAAATCTATGGATACAGGCTCTATGGAGCCTAGCGAGGAACAAGAATGCACCGTCGAAACTTCTTGCAGATATCCTTACGTATATTGGTAGGTCAAGAATTCTTAAAGAAGTACTTACTTTGAGCTATTATTCCTTTTCCTTTACAGCCAAAGAGAAACTTCTGTCACCGCTCATGGTTGTCGATGCACTGTCGACCTCGTTATCCTGTACGCTGGGTGACGTTAGGTCGTACTTGAATAGTGTTCTACGTTCAGAACATGAACAAACGAAAGCGGATGCTGAACTGACGGAAAAATATCGTGCAGACACTATTAAGCTAAGAGAACAAATAGAGGTTATTAAAAAAAATACAATTATTTTTCAAGGGTCACGTTGTAGCGCCTGTCATCATCAGCTGGAATTGCCATCAGTTCATTTTATGTGTCAGCACTCTTTTCATCAACAGTAAGTGTTTTTTTTTACTTTTATTACTTCTCTAATATTTATTTTATTTTTTTTTGGTATCAGTTGTTTCCAGAGTTTCTCCGAGAACGAGAACGAGTGTCCTACGTGTTTGCCCAATAATAAGAAACTTCTCGACATCATCAAAGCCCAAGAACAATCCAAGGATCTTCATGAGACCTTCCACAGCTTACTGGATAGAGCTGAGGACCCTTTCTCTCTAGTAGCTGATTATTTTGGTCGAGGTGTCTTCAAGAAACTGACTGTGATAATTGACGCCGACGGAACTCCTGCAGTGCCACCATCCGTGGCCAAGACGACAAGTGTTAAGTTGTCAGACAATAAACCAAATTATAATGCCTATGGACCTGGTGCCGAGGCTAAACTTAGACTGACAGAGGGCAGAAATACCACCCTGGGTAATTAGCTTTATGATTCACCTTTACAAAATTTGTTCATAGAGGTCCATTATATGACATCGTATTACAGTAAAGACGGAACCTCGGCGCCTAGGAAATGAAATCTCAGCAGCAATCCCCATGTCCAATGATCGTGGAAGATTATTTCCAAAGCCGGATATCTATTCTTCATCGTTGGAAGCCAATATATCCGGTACAGGAAGTAACATTTCTACGCCCAAACTGGCTTCCTCGAGAAAGGCTTCCCCGATTCCCATCAGGGAAGCTCGGATACTGAACAACTCCACACCTAAATCATCGCCGGCGCAAAAGTCATTTATACCGCCAAAGACACCCATCGCCCCGACGAATCCTTTTACAGGTGAAGAGTACGACGAGGCGATGAATCCTTTCTCCGAGGATAAAGATGACGACGTGCATAATTCTGTCAAGAATGACGATGCCGATGATTACGATAAAAATCTAAATCCATTCAGCAGCTAATCGACGGGCCCGATGACTAAAATTTTTTATCATTGTTGTTGTCACAGTGTATATTATCAAAGTGTGCTTCACAACAATGTCGTACAAAAGATTATTAAAAGATAATAAAGTAATAATGATGTAAAATACTGTCGTTATTCGAAATCGGCATCCAAATTCTGCTTCCAGCCAAATATCTTCCGACTGACCGAGAAGGCATTCCAATTTTCTACGTTCTCAGGAGTACGCGATCGAGGTTCAACGGCAGCGCAATACTCTTCCGCGTACTCAGGTTCAAAGAAATCTGAGAGCTTTGGTACAGAATCTCTTTGGCGCGGAATTGGATCTTTACTACGTGTCAGCCTGGATGGCAGACTTTTGTCATTGATGCTCAGATCTATTAAGTCTGTAAATACTGCTTCATCCGGTGGGAAATCCAACGATGACGACATCTAAAAAAAATGTACAATGAAAAATAGTTGTACCATTTCTTGTTAGGATAAAATACCTTCTTGTTTACTAGATCTTTGTACACTGTTGGTAAACTATCCATTCCTATGATGAATTTCTCTTTGCGAATATCCCTCAGTTCGTCAATGGTCCTCATTATGGAGTTATACTCAGGTCTCTCAAATGTCTTTCCAGGGTCGTTATGAGTACTAGAATCAGGAGGCATAGGGTCTTTCTCAGAGGATGGTGCCAAACACAATTTTAATTTTGATGGCTCTGATTCTATGTAAACTGCCGTTCGATGCCCTGTGATGTCTCTTAATACCCTTTTTTTTACTGGTTCTACTAATCGTTGCTGTGTCTTTGGTTTAGCTATTTTTGGGCATGCTTTTCCTTTCGAAGAAAATGTCTTTGAAGATGGGTGCTTCCAAGTTAATACACTGCGTTTCCCTGTTGGTACCTTTGGTAATGCACCTTTGCTTACATTGCTAGAATCTTTTTTAGAAGATTTCATAAGACTAGGTACATTTTCATCAGGACGTTTTTTCTCTTCATTTTCTTTCCCCTCTTCCCCTTTCTTTGATTGTAAAATTTTTGACGATAGATTGCCATTAGTTGTATCAGTATCTCTAGATTTTTTTAGCATCGTACCTCCTTTACTAGTTTGTACCTTAGGAATAGTTTCGGTATCAGGATAGGATACAGAAGTTTTCTTAGATTTGCACATAGTTGATTTTATCTTATCATTATTAGTGCTTTGACTCTTGGCACACTGCAAATCCTTATCATCAGATCTTACTATCCTAATTGGGCGTTTAATAGTCTCAATATTTGTTATCCGAGGACCATTCAATTTGTTGACTGCTTTTGCAGAAGACTTCTGCTTACAATGAGATTGATGTAATCTAAGTTTAGGTCCAGTTGGAGAGCATCTAGATTTTTGTTGCATATTAGGACCAGACATTTTTGCAAAAAATTTGCTTGAGAATAAAGAGGATTAGAAATATTGTTTTAAAGTTTATAGTAAGTTCATTGGAACGAAAGTCGTAAGTTTCTAGGTTTGTCCGAAAACTTTCTTAAAATTCCAAGCAACGATTTCCACAAGGTTTGGATATAATTCTTCAGGTGATAAGGATTGTTGCAAATATCTATGTATGTAGTTTGATACCCTTAAACAAAATAGGTGAAACGGAGAAACGCGAAACTGCGCGAGAGAAGGTACAACACTGCCAGCAATCACTCAACCGGCCGTATCTCGAACTGAATAAGACCGTATTGAATTGTAAGGAAAGAAATTTCAATATTTATTACGGATTAATAGAATAGCAGTCAAGTGATTTCTCGTGTCTGGGATTCTCAATCAGTGTATTTATGTCGGAAGATGTTTCAGGCACTAGCATGGATTCTTTCCAGGTAACGAACCTAATTGTCAAGAGCTTGACATTTAAACAAGGTTAGACCTCCATAAAAATAAGCAGCTCTACTTACGTATTTCATAAATTGTCCTACAATCACAAGATGTCATTTGCCTTTGGCAACATATAATATTATAAGAAATTAACTAGTGTGGATATGTCGTTATTTTATAATAAAACTTTTCAGAATCCTGAATTAAAACCTCTGGAGGATTTGAAACTGACTGTAAAAAGTGAAGGTGTTAGTCAAAGTGTGCCTGCTCTGGTAAATCAATATTTGAATAAACATATTTCAAAAAATGTTAGACTTTATAAAGTTCAATTTGAATCACCTTGTTTCAGAACCCACGTTGGGTAGAAAAGCGTTATTTTCTTTGTTACACTAAGCCACAGGTGTATAAAAAAAACGGGGCTGAGATTCCTGGTGCCAAAGAGCAATGGCTAGAAATAGTGGATTATATCTCGGAAGATCTTAAATGGCTTTTGAATCTACCTTATTACAGGTACATATAATCAAGAAAATGTATAATGCTTCATTTGACGATTTTATGATTTTTCCAGGTTCTGGTCAAATATCTTATACCAGAAATCAATAAGAAAAACTTTGTCTTCATTCCTTCAAAACGCACCACCTTATTACCTCATAGATCATTTTCCCAAAATCGCAGAAATGAGGAGTGCTCTCGATAAACTCTTTCACATAGTTCTCCTAGTATATGTTCGTCTTGTTACAACCAAGGAAAGCCCAGAGAATTATATGACTTCCTCATTTCATGGGAACATGCTTTACAACAATTATATACTAACTATACCAGCTTTATTAGATCTAAGTCAATTGTATGGACGACAAAATGCTAAAATTGTCGAAAGAATTATGAAGAACCTCTTTGAGATACAACCACTGTATAACAGTGACCTTAAACAATTCAGAGCACTTTTCTTTGCGGTAATCAAATTATCCTTCAAATTAATATTTTAATATAAGTTTAAAATAAAAGACAATTTCTTTCTAAATGATATAGATGATGCGAAGAATGGAAAAGAAATTTGACGATCGTCGTGTCATTTTACCTGGCAACGTTATACGTATTTCAGACACTAAAGGATCGTCGTCAGAAATGCAATTGGACGGCATAGAGAAGTTTGCTCTGACTATGTTAGACGTATTCTCAACAATTACTGTGTTCCTAGATAATTATCCACCAGCAGCCAAATTATTTAATAGAGATAAAATTACAGCCAAGTGAGTACAAAATAATTATTATCTCCATTCTTCGCTAAGATTGTCATTTCTTTTTTGACTATGAAACTTATAATTTGTTAAAGGATTGTTTCCTTTTACGGTAACACGGTGCCCGAGGTATACAATAAGCTAGTGGATTTGGCGTACAAAGATGATTGCATAGAAAAGTATTTGAAACTTAAGCATCTGCTGAATGTAACCAGGATAGAAATTTTAAAGTTCTACCGAGCCATTGTGTACAGTACCTTTAAAGACATCATTGAAGATACGTGAGTATCTAAATAGCAGTGAAATATTCAAAATCCCTATACCCAGGTACATCACGGTGTTCTGAATTTTCAGGAATTCACTGACAGAAGTCGATATAAGAAGTCAAGTAGACGAGTACTTCAATCTTATCACAAGGGCCTTGTCGGAGAAAATATTCATTAATGACTATCATCGACATTATCCGGTCGACTTGGATATAGACATTCTTCAACAAACATGCCCCAAGATGTATCCTTTTTCAACACATTATTCTCTACAAATTTCACTTGCCAACCTTTATAGCCAATACTCATTTTGGCTGTATTTACAACCCTTATAAGAAATCATCAGTGACTTGACAAGGTGCGAATTTATTCTACAGTCAGTTTGCGCAGGAGAAAAAGAAGTAGAGAAAATACTTAACACTGCCAGTGATAGCGACGTAAGTATTGATTACAGCAAGGTAATATCCTATGAAAAATTTCGTTTTAATTTCTCCTGCAGAAGGCTATAGCGGGTCCTAGTAAAGTGCCTGAAGCTAGAGCCTCTACGTCTACAGGAGGAGCTTCCACTAGTAAGGCAAACAGTTCTGATAGAACTGAGGTCGAGTTGGTCTCCTTCATCTCTGAAGTGAAAGATATTCTAAATCACCTTGACGAAGGATTTATCCAGGTAGTTAAATCAGTTTCCTGACCCTCAGATCAATTGTTCCTTCACCCTCTTCAAATGTTGGCTATTCTACAGAGATGTCTCAAGCATTACAATTATGATACTGCGGCTGTGATAAATGCTGTACTAGAGGATTCTGTACCCGCACATCTCAAGGAGGACAATTCCGTTGCGCCAAAGATACCGCCCGATCCGGAGGTAATTCATGTAATTTAAAAGATTTAACGTTCACGGAATGATGTTATTCAAATCTTAGGAAGCTTCGGTAGCCGTGGATCTAGCCATTGGTGCGCAAAGGTTAAACGTCTTTGATAACGATGAATTTGACATCATGACCAAAGACGTTGTCGACACGAGTAGAATACACAGAGGCAAAAGGTATTCATACACTTTACTTGTTTATAGAAATACTTATGTTACATCGATTCTTTATATTCTCAGAAAAGACAAACATAAAAATTTAAACGATTTACTGAACGATAAGTCTCACAACAAGAATCTTAAGGATATGTATGCCAAGTACAGTATAGTGACTGATGACTATGATGATGAATATGATGATACATATGAGAGTCATGATGCTGGCCTAAACGCAAGAGATCTTTCTACAGAACAGGATGTCAGACCCTTTACAACTCCCCGAGTCAGTACTTATTCTAAAATCATTAGTAGTCATGCATCAGAGAAATGATATTCCAATGTTAATGCTAAATACTGTCATGCATATTGCTTGCAGATCTTTCTTACCAGAGATAGAAACGCGGCCGCATCTGAGGACGAGGTTGACAGCGAAGACGAAGGTGCAGCACGGACACAAAATGGGAAGGATCAGTTTGTGCATGATCCTGCAGAGCTTCGGGCCAGGCAGGAGCAGCGTTGGCAATCTAAACGAGGAGGTAGAGGAGGAACAACTCAGTCAAACCGCAGAGATGTTGTTGGTAAGAACGAAAGTGACGTACTGACATTCTTATAGAAAAGTTTTTCAGAAAATAAAGAGACCGTCCATAAAACTAGGTTTTTTGTATTTTCAGGTAAACCTAAGGGTCAAGGACAGGATACTGCGGTTTTGACGAATAGGGATAATAAAAATACAAATAAAGCTACGCGCGCCAATCACAACCGACGTACTGGCGCTCAATGGAAAAGAAGACAAGGAATGGTTCCATCTTAAACAAAACCGATATTTCTTGAAGAGACAGTTATTTTGTATCAGCATAACTGAACCCGAGGTTCAAACAGGAGGTTATAAATAAAAACGCTGATTTACCTTATAGTCCACTATAATCTCACAATTATCACTTACGTATCTTTATTACAATTCATAAATTTAAAGTGGTAGGTTCAGTCGTCCTTCACAATGGTTAAATCTCGTATTCGTGATAATTCTGTCGAGATTATTTTGTCAAATTCTGTGTCAGACATCGTCGCACTTCCTGGTGAAACTCGTGAATTTTCAACAGGCATTAACTGTGTAAATAATCTTGTAGTGTTTCCATAGTAATTTAGCTGAATCATTATAAGAGCATGTACACTGGGTTTGATGTACTCCAATCTCTTGTCAAGGAATGCAGGTAGTTCTGAAAGGAGCTGAGCGTGCACAGTCCTGAGGTCCTTTGCAGCAGCTTCTTCTGTTCTTCGTTCACGTTCTAACTTTGCTATGTGGGTACCGGTTCTCTCCTTCTTCATCTCTAATCTTTTCATTCGCTGATAAGCAGTCTTCCAAATAGTAACAAGCTCCTCACGCTTTGCTACAGCAGCAGCAATATATACAAATTCGTCTCGAAGTTTCTTCAAGGGCTCCAGAAAGGTTTTTTGACAGAGGGCTGTCATCTCTTGCACATTTTTACCTACCTACGGATGAATAACGCTATAGCTCATTGCATACGCAGAATCAGGAAATGATGATAAGAAAAATTTGGATGCCATACCTGTGTGGTAACAGAGTGATATTCTTCAACTATCCTACGAAATTCGTCGCTTACATGTGCCAGTCCACTGGTACTTAAATTCATACTCAGACGTTGATCAACACGGTCCAACTGACTTACAATTTCCAGGTACTTCTTCATTTCTTTGGTCATCTTCCTGATAGACTCCTCGACGCTAAAATATTAAAATATTCAAAAAACAAACCAAATCAGTTATAAGTATATGAAAAGCATATTACTAAATGAGTTTCTGAACAGCAACATCCAAGTCTCTGTCTTCTTCGTGAGAAAGAAGAGGTGGTGCTGGATTGGGACGTTGTGTCAGATGATTTCTTTTCAAAGGGTTCCTGAAATCAAAAGCATATTAGTAAAGATATATTCAAACAAATGGATTTATCATGCAGGTTATTCAAAGTGCAGTTTAAAGTGTTTCAAATTTTTACTTACCAAGTCATGATGTAATCAAACTTGAGCTGGTTATCATAATAAACACTTAACACTACACGACATGGCCCTCTTCCAATTAAATTCTTCTTAAAATAACTATAAAAAATACGACGCAGATACTTATAAATCCTAAAGAATTCGTTATCATTTCAGCGTTATCTCATTCGTGTAGAGATTAATCTGGAGATGACGTTCATGACCAAGTTACCCGCCATTAAGTTCTACTCATATCGGATACAATCACACTGCATACAGTTTATTAGAACAAGGTTCCATTGTCATCTTATTATTTAAGTAACTTTTATGTAAATGTACAATCACCAAACAACAATCATTTTCAGTAATCAGAACGATGGTACTCAATAATATTTTAAATTCTGAGAATTTTAAGAAGTTCTGCGCTTCCTGACGTCATCAACAAGTTGGTAGAACTGCTGGAACTCTTTTTCAGACAGCTGCCAGGTGTTTCGGTAAGGTTATTTTACAGAACCACTTTCGAGAGTGTAGAAAATCAATGTGGAGCTCTAATGTGCCTAATACTCAATACTAAAAGTAATGATCTAGTCTAATCTACATTTTATATTAACAGGCTAAGAATAATCTCAGTATTGTATATGTATCGATAGGGTACAGATAATATATCCTTATTGTTACATCACTTACAATATCAGGTATTTATATTTATTTTACAGTATCACTATTGTTCTCTAAAGGATTCCATTGTGAAAAAATAATGTCATTTGTGTTTGACATGCATTTTCCATTCTGACAAGACACTATGCACGTGTAGCACGTGCACTTTGCGCATGCGCCAATTTCTAGAGCTTCCCCACTCTTCTGTTTATGTACTATGAATTACTTTATTTGGAATTAATTTGTGTAGACACAGCAATAATGACTGAACGATCCTGGGAAGAGAAATATAAGCTCATTACGAGGAATCTAGCAGAATGGCTTGGCGATGAGAAACTTAAGACAATCCTTAAGCAAAGGGATATAAAAATATACTGGGGCACTGCAACAACAGGAAAGCCTCACATTGGATATTTCACTCCAATGTCAAAGATTGCTGATTTTTTAAGAGCCGGTGCAGAAGTCACTATTCTCTTTGCCGATCTTCATGCTTACTTGGACAATATGAAAGCCCCCTGGGAGTTGTTGGCCTTACGAACAAAGTACTATGAAGCTGTTATCAAATCCATGCTCAAGTCCATCGATGTGCCCTTGGATAAATTAAAATTCATTAAAGGAACAGAATACCAGTTATCCAAGGAATATACGCTAGACGTATATCGGCTTGGTTCTATTGTAACTGAACACGATGCGAAAAAAGCAGGAGCTGAAGTTGTTAAACAAGTGGCTAGCCCGTTATTATCTGGTTTACTCTACCCTGGATTGCAGGCACTTGACGAACAATATCTTAAGGTAGATGCTCAATTCGGTGGTGTAGATCAGAGAAAAATTTTTACTTTCTCTGAGAAATATCTACCAATGCTTGGATATGAGAAACGTGTTCATCTAATGAATCCTATGAGTAAGCAACTTATACACATTGCATACATAAGCAACAGAACAGAAGCAATAATATGATTTTTCAGTTCCTGGACTTACTGGCGCAAAAATGTCTTCATCCGAGGAAGATTCTAAAATTGATCTTTTAGATGACGCAGCAGCCGTCAAAAAGAAATTAAAAAAGGCTTTTTGTGAACCTGGTAATATTACTGACAATGGAATTCTGTCATTTTCTAAGCATGTTATATTCCCACTGTTGAAGAGCGATGAAGTCTACATCATACCGCGCAAGGACGAATTTGGTAAAAGACTGTCAGGCCTGCTTCATTCGTATTTTAAATTATTTTCTGATCTTTATTGTTCATACATTCATCAGGTGGAGATGCGCAATTTGTGAAGTATGAGGACCTTGAAACTGCCTTTGCGAAACAGGAAATTCATCCTGGTGATCTTAAGGCAGCAGTTGAGATTTATATAAACAAGCTTTTAGATCCGATCAGAAAGGAATTCTCAGCTGATCCAAAATTGAAAAAACTTAGCTCTGAAGCATATCCACCACCACAAAAACAAAGTATATTAAATACCGTAATAAAAAATGATTTAATATCAAATAATGATTCTATACGTATTTTATTTTTCAGAACCTGTGGAGGATATTGTCCCATCTAGATTAGATATCAGGGTAGGAAAGGTTGTGGAAGTTGAAAAACATCCTGACGCGGATGCCTTGTATGTGGAAAAAATTGATCTAGGGGAAGCAAACGGTCCTAGGACAATAGTGAGTGGCTTAGCTAATTTTGTACCTTTGGAAGAAATGAAAGATAGATTGGTTGTTGTTTTGTGCAACTTGAAAGCTGCTAATCTCAGAGGAATACAGTCACATGGAATGGTACTCTGTTCATCTACGTAAGTAGCATTAAAATAATACCAGGGAATACTTAAGTAACATTTGAGGATAAAACATATTTATACTGGTAATTGGATTATTCAGAGATCAGCCTACAAAACAAGTAGAACCTCTGAGGCCACCTAGTGACGCGGTACCCGGGGAAAAGGTTCTAGTAGAAGGTTATGAGGAAGGTGTTCCTGACGACATTTTAAATCCAAAAAAGAAAGTTTGGGATAAACTACAGGTGGACCTTATTGTGAATGGAAACGGAGAAGCTGCATGGGCAGGAAATGCTTTGCTTACTGCTAGCAATGGAAAAATCACATCAGACACTTTGAAAAATGTACCAATAAAATAATAGGTTTATACTGCTTAGACACAAAAACTTTCTATCATTGCATTTTGACAGTCTTTTGACAATGATTAACAACAGTTTTGTCACCTGAATTGAATAAAAAGAGCTTCTTCAAAAAGTTGCATAGACTTATTTCAGCCAGTATATCGAAAGCAAAACATACAAGTACCACAGCTGCCTATACTAATTTAAAAATGTTTGACCCTCACTATTAGAGTTCAAATAAATATCTGTCCAAGATTTTTTATTTCATAATGCACTTGACTTATTCTTACATAGAGCAGTTCACACAAGGCGTAAGTCCATAATTATTCTCCCTTTTAACCATAATTAATCTATTATAAGTTCAATAATTTTTCCTTAAGCATAATTAATGATCTGTTATGATAAGTTCATCAATACCCCAATCTTCATAACTATTATCAGGAAGGTAACGTCGAATAACAATAGGGATCTTACGTTTCTTCAGTTCCTTCATAGCAATCTGCAACGGGTCAGTCTCTCCTTCCAGCTCAACCATGACAGGTGCACACATTGCTATTTGCAATGCTCTGGTCCCCAGTACCCTGGCTCTTTCATATCTAAACAAAATTATATTAAAAATAAACTAGGAATTAAAACGAAAACATAACCTTAAAATATAAACACTACGTACTTTGTCATGTAACGCGTTGTGATTCGTTTAGATTTCTGCACGCCGCCAGAAGCTTCCCCAGCAGCTAAAAGCTCTATATTTTCTCCATCTTCCTCCTGCTGTTCTAATTCAATATTATCGTCGTCATCGACGTCGTCGAAGTCATCGACAACCCTAGAAACAAGGTTATGTTATGTTACGTTAATCCTAGAAATCAAAAACAAATACTGCACAAAGTAAAATGAATCTACGTACTCGTCTCCGTCAAATTCATCATCCGCCATATCCATGCTCTTATACAGAAGACTGGACACTGCTGGACATTCAGCGAAACTGATCGTGCCGTTCCGGAGTGCTTTTAGTGCCGTAAAGCGCCATTACCGAATGGAGCCACTTGATTCATCAACCCCCCACAAATTTCAATATTTGAATTGTTCTAAATTTAGGAACAATATGGATAAAAGACATGTGACTGTTAATGTCCAACCAAATGAATAGTGTATTTGCAAATGACAATTATTCATTATTTCATTATATTATTCATAATTAAATTAATTATTACACGGTAGTGGTCCGATCCGAGTCAATACCTTCCACTATAATATTGTCGGGCTTTTGATCAGTAAGACAGGAAAGCTGTAATCTCATTGTTCTGGTTACTTTAAAAAGTAGTGCTTCAATCCGTGAAGCATCTTCCTTGTTTCGTGGCGGCGGAATTACGTCCAATGCTTCTTCAAAGAAACTCCTTTAAAGAATCATAAATTCTACGTGTGTATCTTTAATTATTCGTGACAATGAGCAGTGACTCAATATATTACAGTATTCTCGTTACCTTGCTCTTGGTGTGCTGTATCTTGACAGTGCTTTACTCAGTAATGTAATATCGGCACGGGCTTGAATAATACCGGAAGGCCCAAATTTAGTAACGCAGGACATAAGCCTGGCCAATTCTTCGGCTATGGTTTCTACAATGTGGGATAAAACCCTCTTCAATAGACTTGGGGACACTCTGCGTACCTGCAATTTTTTCAAAATATGTAAGCAAATACAATATCATTTTTTAATCCAAGTTATAACTTTACCTCAGCATGAACAGCTATAAGATTTGCCAAGGCTTCCTGTGCATAAGGTCTAATATGCGTAGGTTCTACTTCTGAGTCCCATTCAAGACCACCAAGGTACATACTCGGTTCAATAGTACCAACTAGAGGATCACAACGTCTCTCTAAATAGGCGTCTAAAACAGCTGCATCCAGATTTTCTAATTCGGTCCAGTCTGAACTCCATCCAACAGCTGTTGACAGCTCCGGATAACCCTGAGCCTTGAGGAACTCCACAACACGCGGTAGCACAGTGTTAAGCGTGTAGCGAATATTACTCAAGGATATTAATAAGCACTGTTCCCATGTCTACAAAATTAATAGATCATAATCCAAGGTTGTCGAAAACTGTATCATTCACGAAACATACCGGACCGTGTTGCTTGTTGTCGCGAGTCCTATATCCGGTCGGCGAAGCAATCAATTGAGAGACAGATGGTTCCTCATCCTCCATTGCATCTTCGCTTCCACTGAAGGCTAATTGTCGCAAACAACGTGCGAATGAGGTAAACAGTGTCCTAACAGCATTGTGATACAGTGCTTGATACGCTGATCCTGCAAGTAAAGGACCTTCCCTAGGGCCACAGGCGACCGCAGTCTCACGAGATAGTTTTGACACTTCCATAATCATTTCTTCAAATAGACTAGGCTAGGTGGAGAAATTAAGTTTTTGTAGAACGCATGAATCTTAATAAAAACTCTAAACAGATAATATTATTAATTACATTACCAGTCTTGTGATTCCGCCATCCTCATACAAACATTCCATTTGCCATGTCTCCTTTCGATGCAAAGCTCCAATGTTCTCTGCAGTTTGTTTGAATAGTGCAGCCATGCATTGAAATCTACATTAAAGGAAGACAATATAGAGGAAAGAAATTATTGAAAAAATTCAAGTCCAAGACATTACCTAAGATCAAAAATAAATTTGCCAAATATGTCAAGTGCTTCGTTTGGCAAGTCCAGATGTATCAGAGAAGCGTACATCTGCCGGACGCATCTAAGATTGTACAAAAGCCAAGAGGCTTCAAGATTAGAACTGCAGGAGCTTTTCATGGCGTTTGCCGCGTGTTGCATGCCCGACAGTACAAGATTCTGTAAGACTGAATGCTTTAGGTTCTTCCTCTAGGATTTCAAGAGAATAAAATAATTAAAATTCCACCTTGAAAGGTATTTGCTTCTCAATGTCCACGGTAACGTGCAGCTGTCCAGTAAAATAACTTTGCCCTAATCTCCAGAGGTCAGGAAGTTGCTCCATTACCACGTCACAGATGGCCTCCACGCAAAGGACCCGCACTGGAGCGTTATTTATGTCATTTTTATAAAGGCGCAGTTGCTTCACCGACATTGGCGTAGACCCATTCGATTTTGGAGTTTTGCTAGAATCGTCTCCTCCAGCGCTCTCAGATTCCAGGTGTTCGTGGACGCAGGCAGTAATACTTTTTTCCAGATGGCGTGCATGGGACACTGTGCATTACAAAAAAAAAACATTATTATTGTGTTAACAAGATAATATGGTGAGAATGATTATGAAGTGGATACCTATCGCATCCCATGCAGGATCTCCTTCAGCCTCCAGGTTCACCATGTTCCTGATAATCTTCTTTTGCTCATCCAAAGTCGCTGGCATTTCCTCAAGCTTCTTGTGGAGCATATTGCGTAACTTTCCTATTCTTTCATCAATTTCCACAAGAACTCTCTTGAAGACCTCCACCTCAGTATTGCCAAATAAATTTTTAACACGGGCGTAATCGTTGATCACCAAGTCGTAGTTACCGCGCTTGATATTCTTCTCGATATTGACTGGCATGCAGAACAGGAAGCGATATCTTTGCATTAAGGATAAAGCATTCCTGGTAGCGTCGGCTCTATCTCTACGAGCTAGGACGTCGTCAAAGAGCTTGTTTGCTTCGGCCATGGATTCTTTTATAGCTTTTTCAAGCTTGGTTGTTGGGTCACTTCCATGCTTTTGAACATCAGATTCAAATTGTTCTTTTAAGAGAACAATAGTATCTAGTTGTTCCATTACAGAACCTACGTTTGCCTGAAAAGAAATTTTCAAGGTATAAATGAAGGAGATGATAACTATAATATATTACCTTCAGGAAAGACAGCTGGCCCTCCTTCTGAGAATGGACTTTACGTCTCAGGTAAGCAAGACCAGCCTTAAGATCATCCAGTGTAGTTGCATGATGATGTTGCAGTAGAAACCAGCCAGGATGAAACTTATCACTTGCTAATTCTCCACTTCCATCTCCAAATAGTTCTATTAATTCGTCCTCGGGAAACTTTTTCCTGCAAATAAATTCCTTCATCAACGCCCTTTTTGAACAATCATACGTATGACAATACACAGTGTGAAATAATCATTACTCATTTCCTTCTACGCTGAGACCTAGTGGATCTTCCTGTTGGTAATTTGTAGGGGACAATGCACGTCTACCCCATACAAAACTTTGCATTGGAGCCTCCTCTACCCAAACTGCAGACTCTTTCATAGGTCCAATAGTTTCATGGTAGCCACGAAACTGTACAGTTGATGTACCCTGACCTCCACTGCGTGTTGTAACAATTATATCTCCACGTCCCTTGCATGGTCCAGAACGTGCTATAATTTTATTCTGCGACTTCCATTCAGCTGACAAGAGGCAATCACAGCCACAAATAGTTAAACCTAAAAACGTATCTTGCATAAGAAGTTTGAAGAAAAGTAAAACATTCGACATAGAGGAAAAGAAGCAATACTAACCTATAAGATCTTGAGCTCTGGAGCCCAGAAATTCTCCTCTGACAATGACGCGAGTTCCTGGTGGACCTTCTTTTGGAGAAATTCCAGTGACTACGGGTGGAGGTCCCATCCTTACGAAAATATATGTCAAATAGAACCTGTCCTTATAAAAATAGGATAGCGTATCTATTAGTAATCATTCTTCTAATTTATAGATTTCACCCATACAATCAGTTACAAATTAAATAAAAGTACTTTGCACTGTTAATTATTTATTTTAAAAAATAATTATGAAATCTAAGGAAGCGTCACAATTCCCACCCACTCGTCTGTCAAACTCTTTACTGCACCCAACCTCTCTTACACTCAGTCACAAACTGTCATCAATTGACAACAATGTCATTGGTTGCGCACAGGCTGACATGTTTAGTCGAATACATTATTGAAAAAAAAAACTGATAAAAAATATAAAGTGACTCATTCTTTTATAAGTTCTTTCAAAATATATTTATTGAATCGTAGACAAATATTATAGTTTTAACAAAATAGACTCTAGTTGTAATGTTGATAAACTAAATGGTCGCACATATAAAAGTAAAAATGAAATAACAGCGTTGACACTTACTCCTCCTAAGGGTATTGAGCGAAAAATCGGTTTACCACCATAAAATCTCACAAGACACATGGAGACTTATTGTACCATACCTATCCTATTGGTTGAAGAAAAATGGTGGCATCATTTATTAATGTGTGACAGGCTTGATAGTTCTAATTTTATGGCCTCTAAAGTGTCTTGATGCTTTGATAACTGACTCTCCACTCCTGCCAGCAGAACGGAATTGGAGATGACAGTTAGCCTCTCTAAATGTACGTCAGGAACATATGTGCTCATTAAAGACTAATTAACAGTATACATAATCCTAAAATACAAAAGATGTTTGGCACTGCTAAGTTTTGAGGCTTTGTACACTGAATGAAGAATGGAATGAAAGTTCCTTTTATTCTGCTCCATAGCTGCTTTCTTATAAATCACTCGAAATATTTGGTGGAGTAGCACTAATAGAACTACTAGATGATGCTGATATTGGAGATGGTAAGGCAGCATATTGAACGTACTGAGCTTGTCCAGGAAGTGGATACCAGTTCTCCTGAGGAGGCTGCTGTGGCACTCCAGGATACATATTTTGCTGAGGATACACATATTGCGGGTATACCTCACAAAATGATGTAGCCGGGTAATTATCCACATTCGAATAGACGTTAGGAGGATAAGCATTCACATTATTACCGTCAGGAATGTCTGAACGTGACACATAAGGGACAGAGAAGTATCCTGTATTGGAAGCGTAGTACGAGTGACCATAGGATTCAGACTCTCCTGAATAGTACGGTACCGGCGCGTACATTGTCTGCTGAGTTGAATATGGTGACTGATACGTTGAAGGATTTCCAAAAGAGTGACCTGCCTGTTGAGGACTTGGTCGTTGTCCTTGAACCAGGTCGTTTCTACCAGGCTGTACTGGTGGCGGCGTCTCCACACATCCATTGGTCTGCTGATAGGGAGCCTGCTGTTGTGGTTGTTGCTGCTGTTGGTGCTGAGTCTGTTGTTGGTATGGACTTTGCTGATATGAATTTCGATAACGTCCTGGTAGCAAAAAAAATTGGAAAGAAGAAACAAAATTAAATCAGATCCTTGTACTTCTCATGTATCAATTTACCATCAAGATTCTTCTTGAATCGTGAACCCGTGCCGTTTTTGTTGTTCCGTATCGCATCGCGATTCAGTGTATTCTGCTCTTTGACTTTGTCATAATTTCCATATCCCTTATTAGGAGGTGTCTTTTGCGAAATGTTTTTCATTGGAAAGTCCTGTAAGATACTGCGTGGCACCCCTGGCTTCGGTAATGCTTGTCCATTATTTATGACTCGTCCTCCATTCTCAGGGTACTCGTCTTTGCGACGCGCTATGATGCAATTCTGGTTCATCCCTTCAGTAATCTTATTCACACTCTCTTCCGTTATGGAGCCACCTAAACGGATATTATACATTTCAATTAATTAACAAAGTACAAAATAATTGTCTGCACATATCTACTCCTTTAATTACCGGTATAATTTCCGGTTTGCATGTTCATAGCTGTGGATCCCGCAGGACCAACATAGTAAGATCCATAAGGTACCGGAACTGGGTGGCAACTCCACAAGTTACCCGCTCGAAAAT